AACTCTTCATGATAAATGATATTGATAAATGTCCTGCACTTGTAGAGCATCTTTCAGAGTCATTGGACTCCAAAACACTTTACACTACAGTGTATCATTCATCCATTCACTCACAGATTCACACACTGATGGTGATGAGTTGCAATGTAGCCACAGCTACCCTGGGCGCACTGAAAGAGGCAAGGCTTCTGAACACAGGTGCCACCAGTCCTTCCAACCACCACCAGTAGGCAAGGTGGGATAAGTGTCTTGCCCAACCACTAAATTAGGTGAACTGGAGCTCTCTCGCCTCTGTCAGTGCGCCCCAGAGCAGCTGTGGCTACATTGTAGCTCATCACCATCAGTGTGTGAATGTGTGTGTGAATGGATGAATGAAACACTGTAGGGTAAAGCTCTTTGGAGTCCTTACTCTGAGAGGCGCTATACAAGTGCGGGTCATTTATCATTTATCATAAAACCCGCATAGCGGCACTCCAGGACTGGGATTGCTTACTACAATATAAAATTATAGATATATTTCTCAATTTAGATGTTTTATTTAGAGTCTAGTTTTTTTCTTGAGATTAAGTGTTAATTTAGATGGAAAGCCAGTTCACCTCAATTTTTCCAGTGCACAGTTTGGATTGGCTAATCCAGCAGACAGTATCTCCACCTTCAAGTCAAGGTCATTCTGACTCAGATCAAGCTCCTTCAGGTGAGAGCTGTTGGTGCTCAGGGCTGAGGCCACCTCAGCTCAGCACTTCTGCAGGTTGTACTCATTTAACCTAAAAGATGAGAATGTTTTACTTTTTGAAGTTTTCCAGTGTAAGGCAAGTCCAGTTCCATTGTAAAGTCTTTCCAGTTAACGTCCTTGAGCGTTGAGCTAATGGAGAGTAGGGGTGAACTATGGTGATGAGCGAGTGAATGAAACAGAGCTGGTTTTGAGTGGAGCATTGTTATTCAGAAGGGTGGAGAGGTTGCTGTTGTACTGGTAGACCAGATGTAATAGGTTAAGCTCACACGCTGCCTCTCATTAGTGATAAAATGTTTTAAGATACCACTTCCCCTTCTTCAGATGCACATTTAAAACATTATTACACCCCTCTTCTGCTAATGTGTTTTCATGAAAAGGAGTTAGCTGAAAATAAGGCTAACACTAGCTCAATTCCTCATTTTAATGAGACAAAGTTTATCTCTGAAATTATAGACATGTTGGATTTGTTTCAGTCGTAAACTCTGGTAAAGAGTCTGATGTTTAAACTGCAGAGCTCTGATTGTTAACTTGATGGACTGATAGTCAGAACAAACTAACCTGAGTGTTTCTAGTTTACAGATATAGTCTCTTTGTGTCTGAGGTCATCCCACCCACTTCCTGTTTGAAGCCACAGACATTTAGCAGCCATGTTGTCAGATAGAGACAACAGCTGTTTGATGGTTAATGCATATCTTACCTAGCCTAGTGAACTAGACCAAATTCTTGCTTTGCAAAGTTTGGTCTAGGCATGCTCCATTGGAACCTCCGCAGCTCCTACCAGGACTCTGGCTAGCCAATCACAGCTCTCTAGAGGGGTTTCAAACACATAAAGAGCTGTGATTGGTCCATAATGGTGGGCCAATCATAGTGTTCTATCTGCTTAGTGAACAAATCACAGAGCTTTATCTGCTTTGTGGGCCAATCAGGGCACTCTATATGCCTGGTGGGTGGGATGATGCAACAGAGTGAAACAAGAGTATGTCACATTCATTGTCCAGTGGAATGCGGAGATCCTTTGAAAGACAACGGTAGAACCGCCCCACAACCGAGAGCCGTCAATGGAGCATGGCCAGACTAAATAATACATTTATTTAGTCTGGCTTGCCAGGCTTACCCCCATCAGCTTTTTGCATGAGTGCACTCAGGAACTAATTCAGCCAGACTAACACACATAGTGGTGGGTGAAGGGCAAAAATACAGTTGTAAAGGTATTTGTTAGCCGTAACAGTATCAAATCATATTTCAGTATAATATTCTTGTTTTGACCAGACAGAAAAAGAGGCATTTTTGTGATAAAGAAGAACAGTCAGAAACTATGAATCACAGAATAACCTGCTTTGTGTAGCTGCAAGACTTTCATATACAGGAGTAGATAGAATTGTTGGTAATGAAAAGGTCACCAAGGTCACTGAAATAACAAGCAAACAAACATTTATGAAAACCAACTAATGAAAATCAGACATTGTGTTCAAATTGTGGTTTAACAAAATTTATGAAAAAATAAATATGGAAGGGACCCAAATGACTAAGTCAAATTTCTAATTTTATTGCAGAACTGTTGTGAGGAAATGAGGGGATTTCTGTAACTCTCCAGATTTCTCAGGTATAGAGGCACACTTGGCAGTTTTGCTTGCTTTTAGCACCCCCTAGTGTCCATTATTATCTCTGTGGTCAAAGCAAAAGTGAAATTAATCCCCTCGCCGCCCTTAACCGCTGAACGTCTCCTCCGTCTTCATTCTTTTCTAGAGGAGTGATTCACCACCAGATCTAACAAATCAGCTGGTTCACCATCTACAACATGCAGGAAACGTGCTGGAAGCAGATTCCAGCTCCAACATGTCAGCTCCACTGCACTCCACAACTCCCTCCACCAGCAGGTAGTGGCAGACAACTCTGAAGTTGCAATGGTGGTATTCTGGCCACAGAGGGCAGTGGGGTCTGAGTGACATTTCACCCACCCTGTTGTAAAGGGTCATCAGCACATACTGGCTCAAGAAAACTATATAAAATAATACAAATGTAGTACGCTTCCTTTTCCAGAAGTTTCAGCTTCTTCCACTGTTGTTCAGCATGATTTGGATGAGGACTCATAGGAGGCTTCTTCAGCATAATTTAGTGTCCTGTTAGAGGACCCATAACCTGTGACTGAGAACACGTTCTCTAATACGGACAGTACATTTAGCTCCAGAATGCTTTGATAGGCTTTAGATTTGACTGGACCCTGAACAGATGGGGCCTTTGGAAATCTAATGTGAGCTCTAGCCTCTGGTTCCTGTTGTCAACTGACAGGATTGATATCTGGCAGGTTGTCTTCTGCAAGGTTACATGGTTTAGTGATGGAATCCTGCAGACCATGGTATAGGATCCAATGGCCTTTCTGTCATTCTACTGTGATCGATAACATCAACAAGACACTTTCATCCACACTACTGCTGCTGCTGGATATGTCCTGTAAACTAGATGCATGTGGGCGAAAACTTCAGTAAATCAGCAGTTTCTGAAATACTCAGACCAGCCTGTCTGGCACCAGCAACAATCAGAGCCCTCTTGATTTCTCTTTCTTCTCCATTCAATTTGGGTTTTAGCACATCATCACATCTATGCTGGGGAAGGTTCTCAGTCATCCAGGTCATGGTAATCCAAAAGGGTTCAAATGAAGTCCAGTTGCCTTCATTTTAACACTTTGGATCATCACAGATACCTAAATGTATCGAGCCGTATGTCGCAAGACTGAAATCTAGCAGTTGTATTTATCTAGCAGACAAAGCTGAACAGCTTTATTGCAGGAGATTGGGTGTTCCACAGGGTGGCGTGGCAAGACTTATGTTTGTAGCTGATCTGTAACAGAAATCAAAACAATCTGCTCCCCTTCTTACCCCCAACAGCAGGAGCAGCCACCATGAATGGTGCAGAACCACAAGAGAGCAGAGCTGGTCTTTAATCTAGCCTGCTGTTCAGATATTCTACTTCCCTCATGTACAACGTTTGGCTGGCCCCTACTGTGTATTTTTAGCTGCCATGTAAATGTGTCTCCACCTCGCTTGTTGAGTTCTGCGTGTGTTTATCTCACTTTGGATATTTTAAAATTTTTACTTTTTCATGGAACATTTCAATCCTGCATTATTGTAATAATAATAAAAAAGCTTTTGTTTGCTACAACTGCATCCTGTGTCCTTTGTTTAGATCACCCTTATACACTCAAGCACAGGAATGTATGAAGTCACAGCAAATGTAAACACTTTCTCAATTTGCATTTATTGATCAAGAGTCTATGAGTCAGTCCAAAAAGATAGGGGAAGTGAAGAAATTTCTTAGATTTTATCTTGTGAAACTATAGAGTCTAGAGGGGCAGTGTAAAAAAATTCTCTTACAACATTCAGATGAATTTTTAACAAATATCGCCATGTATTCAAACCCTCAGTTTATGCGATTATGAGATTCATTCTTCTTTTAAAATATCTTTAGTAATATAATGTTTTTTCAAAAGTCATTTTATCATAATATCCAAATTAATATTGAGCCATTTTTATTAATTAATTCAGTATTATGAAAAAAATGACTTTTGAAAAAAAAACCTATATTAATAAAGACATTTTAAAAAAAGAATGAAAACTATTTCATAATATTGAGCTTAGATTTTACATAACATTCTGTTATTTCATCATTTCATTGTCAGATTAATTTTCTGTCTAGTAGAGGATTGTCTAGTATTTCTTCATGTACATATTTATGTCATAATGTCTTATTTATTTATTGAATTTTGACTACTTTTGAGTTCCATATATTTTAGGTGAAATATTGGTGAAAGAAATCGAACATGAATGGAGAGCCGCGTGACCGCATCACGTCAACCGCTCTGCTCGGAGAAAACAAAGAGCCACAAAATGTAGCGAGAGCTCACTCTTTTAGCGTTTAAGCACCTGACACATCAAGAAAATGACAACAACAAAATAAAAAACAATATTGATTCACATTTTTGCTTCTCAAAATGAATCAATACTCAGGAAATACCTGAGAAGTCTGTTTTCTCTTAACAGCAGCAGCTGATTTCTTAATTTGCCACAAATTGTCTGAATTATATTACAGGACTACTAAAAGGACATTTGGAGAACTTATTTGGTAACAAATGTTAAAACAACTACCAATAAAGCTAATTAATCCTTCATCAAAGTATCTTGACTCCACCACCGTCCAAAACTGCGCATGCGTGCGCCTGTTACGACACACCGGAAGTTGTGTAGAGATCTTGCTCCAGAGTGATGCATCTTCTCAGATCTCGGATTTATCACAAGCAGTAGCTGCTGTCTGCCGTTTGCGGTCAGTAAAGGACGTTCCTCGAGTTAAAGTGTAACCATAGCGGTCACGTTATAAACCCATATTCTTCGTCATCCGCCAGCATCCACACAGAAGGAGGACGGAGGTGAGAACGCAGTCTTTTCCAGCATCTCCACGTTAGCTTGAATGCACTTAAAGCATGACGGAAACCCTCTCTTCCTGTCACGCCGTGAGTGTTGATCTGCTCACCTTGCTAGTTTTATTTTTTAAAGTAAATCTTATTTTAGTTCAGTGACACTCATATGCTGTTATACTTCAGGAATATAAACGAGCTCGCGGCTGTTTAAGTTGGCGCGTGATAGAAAACTAATGAGTGATTTTGAACACCGAGGTTTAATCCAAACACGGTGTAGCTCCATAGAGGCACCGGGTCGCTGTTAGTAACACTAAAAACATCACTTACCGTATTCGGCATCAGCCTCCCTTCAGAGCAGCATTGTTTTTTACATTCTTGTTTTGTCAGTTTCATTCAGTTCAGATAGAACGAAATAATTCAACATTATATAGTATCTTTAGAGCAAACAAAAATGAAGTTGACTTCAACAATGTGAAGGGTCTTTAATGTGATGGTTGTTTGAAGTAGTGGGGCTTTGAAATGCCACCTTAGCTTCTGGGACAGTTAGAAAAACCGGCATTTAATTTTTCTTGGCGTTTGGAAAAACATCTCCTTCTGCCCCCCCCCCCCCCTTATTTTGACTTTCTGCCCCCTTTATTTTGGTCCAAGATCATTACTGGGCTGGCCCTATTAAAAAGGTTCTACAACCCTGCTTAGTAGACTTAATGAAATATTTTTAAGCCAGTATAAAAATGACTGAAACACAAATTTACATATTTGGGATTATTGACCAATATCTTTGATTTAATTTATTTGTTAAGAACATCAAGATGCATTACTGTGAACATTATAATAAAGTAAAATTTTCTAGTGCAGAGAGGAGACAACCCATAGAAGCACTGATTTGATCTCATTTCAGAGAAAAATAGAACAGATCAGATGCACCTAATGAATAATAAATAAAATTACTAACAAACGCAGGAATCTGTTTCTTTTCTTCACTGTTCTGGTGCTGAAAATATCACTAATGCGGATCAAAGGAGATACACAGATTAATGCACCTCTTAATTATTATTTGGAAATTAGTGGGCGTGGTTTACATCAATACATTATTTTAAATCTGAAATTGATATGGATTGATCAGAAGTTGCTATGTGTATTGTTTATTTGAAAACTATTTACAGAGCAGCCTCAGAATTGAGATAAAATATTTTGGAGAGAGAGAGAGACCGGAGCGAAGCGAAGCGGAGGCAGTGACCGACGCATGCACGAGCCGTTTTCAGCTCTGTCTTGTCCAAGCCCCCACAATGCAGCTCAAAAATTGAGGCCAACCCGGGAGTACCAAAAATTGCAGTTCCACCCTCATCCACTAGGGGCTGGTGTCAGAAGCAAGCAAATCCTCATCGACTCCATGTTAAAAATACCAATTTCACAGCAGAAATAAACATGTTTACAGCCTGGTTCCAAAACATGTTTTTTGTTTAAATGATCTAGTTTACACTCATGACAACTCTGAGGGGGGTGAATTTTTTTCTCACTCTTCTGTTTAAGTGTTAAAAGCCTAAATTTCTGTATAATTAATGAGCATCAGACCCACGTGACCGCAGAGCTAGCTCCGTGGAAAGTCCTCAGTAGAGCCTCAGTCTGGCCTGGAAACTGCTCCGGGATTTTGAGTCTGTGTTTGAGTATCCTTTTTTGGATATTTTTTGTGCAATTGTTGGACAAAATGACTTGCTGTGGCATTAATTGCACTAATAGAGCGTCCACTTCATTGTTTTTCGGTAATTAAAATTATATTTATGTATTTTAGGTCACTGCTGAGCTGAGCTTAGATTTTAACATGTACTGTTTAACCATGAAATCTAAATGTAATAGGGTAAAACCCAGTGCATTTAACATAATGCTGCACTTTAGAAAATGGGTTGAAATATAACATGTTGGTGGAGCTGGGTTCCGACTATCGGCTTGTGGGAGACCGATGTTTTCCACCCGTTCTCCCCTCCCCGCAGCTCGGCACATCTCTGTCTGATCGCGGCTTCTGTCTGCTGCACAGGCTGCCGGCTTGTGGAGCTTTCGGGAGACCTCTGTGTTCCACCCGGTTTTACCCAGTGGTCAGCCCGGCGTATCTCTGACTCAGAAGCTCTGGTGTTGTGCACAGTTAACTCCAGTTGTAGCTAGGTTGCTACCTCCGTTAGCTTAGCTCCCACCTCCGCTTTAGCTTTGGGTTAGCTTCAGGTTAGCTTGTAGCTAGTTCGACCGGGTGTCGTCAGTTGATCCCAGCCTTACAGCCCCACCCTCAGCTCCACCTCTCTTCCCTTTTGTGGAATTGTCTGGGCTTGACGGAACCTGTGACACGGTCAAAATGGCGGTGGTGGCCACCTCCCATTTATCTTCAAAAATGTGTTATTGGAGTCTATGGAAACGAATTGTCCAGTATATATGTCGATGGTCTTGTCAAATGCACCATGTACGTTACAAAAAAAGTAACTTTAAATATTAAACCGAAAAAGAGGCGTGCTGAAGAAAATCTAGGGAGTACTGAAGAAACGTGAGCAACACTGAAGCAAGCACAGATAGATCTGTTACTGTCTGTCTGTGTGTGTGTGTGTGTGTGTGTGTGTGTGTGGGTGTGTGTGTGTGGGTGTGGGTGTGGGTGTGCGTGTGGGTGTGCGTGTGGGTGTGTGTGGGTGTGTGTGTGTGGGTGTGTGTGTGGGTGTGTGTGTGGGTGTGTGTGTGTGTGGGTGTGTGGGTGTGGGTGTGGGTGTGTGTGGGTGTGGGTGTGGGTGTGTGTGGGTGTGTGTGGGTGTGTGTGTGGGTGTGGGTGTGGGTGTGTGGGTGTGGGTGTGGGTGTGTGGGTGTGTGTGGGCGGGCCGAATTGAGCTTCCGGCTGCAGAGTTTTGTGTGTAGAGAGGGGCAGGCGCTCTATGTGACTCGCCATTCACAGAGCGTGAAGGCAGTCAGTTACCCAATGAGGATTTTACTTCAGCACGATTACAGATATTTACGAGTTTTACTCGTTTCATGCTCGTATTTGTCAAAAATGCTTTATCCGTACCGGATACTAGTCTGAAATGAGTATCCGGCTAATCCCTAGTTCTCTGCCCTGCCTCTTCCTCCTTGCTGCTGTGATCACAAGCAACAAAAGAGTAGTTCCCGCTGCTTCTTTGGGAAACAGCGCAACATTTATTTATTTTTTTTAAATCTATAAAACGGGATCTTGTAGGCGTGGCGCTGGGATTTCAGCCGTGGCGGCCCGCCTATGTAAGGGAAACACTGGGGTCATTATTCTACCACCTCATAGTGCTGCTGCTACTTGTTTTAATGTCCTCACAAGCTAGGATAGGGACTGGTTTATTTTAAGGCACGCATTAAAGCTGACAGCACCACAAAATGTTTGCATGGATGCCTATCAACCTTTTCAGATCAGTTGTTTAAAGATGACATGCACTCAGAATAGCTTTTAGCTCATCAATCCAGTCTGAACTGATCTGTTTCTCCAAACTGAGATCGTTCACAGAGCTATCTACGAAAGGTGAATGGTATTTGTGCATAAACATTTTATTACACAAACAGATTTCATATAATCCAAACTATCCCTTTAACACTTTTAGTTACATATTTCAAATGTTCACGTAATGTTTACTGTAAAGGTCACATGAGTTGTAATGTGCTGCTTAAAGGCAAGAAAACTGGCTGAACTTAAATCTCTTATGGTCCCAGCAGCGAGCTCACAGGCATGTTTGTTATCATTAGCCTATTGAAAGTTCATCCTGTCTTTCTTTTCTCCCAGTCTGAACAGCCGATCTACATTTCTAGCTGTTAAAGAAATGAAGATATACCAATCAGAGGGATGATGGAGAAACGACGGTTGAAGCAATAAATTACAAGAAGACTCTGACACAGTCTACACACTATTTCTCTCAATGGAACAAGAAGAAGAAGCATCGGCTCGGGAGGACGCTGGCTCACAGCTGATTCTCAGGATTGAGCGTCCGGTTTATGATGAAGCTTCCATCAGGTCTCAGCTTTTACACCAGAAAGAAAACTCCACCACCTTCTGTCAGAGGCTGGCAGGCAAGTTCAGGTGAGTCCGTTGTGAAGAAAATTGCTCTTGATGAAGTGATTCTCTTTTTGCACCACACAAAAGAAATAAAGTTAATGTTTGCATGTAAATTCTCTATTCACTGCTTTTAAATATCAATTCAGTATCATGACATGAAATAGTGCAATATTCAGTGTTTTTATATTTTCTTGCATCGCTATACTTTACTTTAGATCGTGTCCTGTCAGTTTTTCTTCTGGTTTTGTGTTTTTATTTCTCAGTGTGCTTCAGAGAGCCAGTCTGGGTTTGAATAGCTTTGTTCTTTCAATAAATTAAAAAAAAAAAATTAAAAGCTGCAAACCAATTTTACTCAATTTATCTTTGTCTGGTGTTGAACAGTGTTTGCTGATCTGGAACCTTTAAGAGACAAAAGGCAAAAATCCAAGACATTTATTGGAGTGGGGGACTGTAAAAATTAAAATTACGTCCTCATTTGAGCAGGATATCCGTGGGTCCTTAAAAAGTCTTAAATTTGCTTTTCCAAATTTAAGGCCTTAAAAATCCTTAAAAATGACAAATAATCCTTAAATACAGTTTCCAAAGGTCTTAAATTACCAAAGACCCAATAAACAAGATTAGTTTATTTCAATTTTCATGAATTTCTATTTAGTGTTCAGCATTTTTTGTGTATGATATTGGCATAAGCGGAACCGTACACATTCAGTTGGTTGTGAAAGGGGGCTTTTTTAGATGAGCACATTAGCTGGTTAAGCTAGTGGGAGATTGCGCCATGGGGACGTGCAACTTTTATGGTTACTGGATGGTTAATCCCACATTCGCAATAGCAGGAAATTATAGTTTAAATTTAATTTTAAAAAGTAGCTTAAATTTGGTCAAACTGGCCTTAAAAAATGTCTTAAAAAGTCTTAAATGTGGCTCCCTTAAACCTGCAGATACCCTGTTTGAGTGATGCACGTTCTCATGACGGAGGAGGCATATGGCGCCACGGCCAGCAGGCTTACTTTTATCAGCACCACACCTGTCAGCTCTGGTGCTGCAGGATGAGAAACCCTGACATTTTGCTGTCTGTCTGCAGTTTCTGTGTTAATTAACATATCTTTCACTGTTGGCTGGCTCTGTGTTTTTGTTGGAAATGCCGCTGTGAACTGGGACTAACACAGACCGATGATTCGCTGTGGCGACACCTGAAGGGGAAAAAAAACCAAAGGAGAAGGAGAAAGTAGTTTGTTTTGAAGGCTGCTTATCGTGCAGCTGTCTTTTCCAGCATGTTGAATGCCCAGTATGCACAAGAGGTTGTTGCCTTCACTGTCCGGTTTAATATATCACCAAAATACAGAATTTTTAGGTCTGCTGTGGACACACGTTAGCTCTGCGTTAGCCTACTAGCTAACAGCTCCATGTTATGGTGTCTGAATCCTCACTTGCTGTAAATTGTGAGGTAATGATGTTCTTTTTTTTCTTCCAAGAAACAAAGATTACTGATGTAGAAGAACTTGTTGAGGTTAAAACAAAGCCATTGTTATTCCTTTAGAAAATGTCTATCTCAGGGTCAAATAAAAAAAGTGGTATTTGTTGTTTTATAAGGTTAAATCTGATCTTTTTCACCCGATTTCGGTCTTTTGAAAATCATGAATGTTCCTGATTTCCCATCACGTGATCAGATCAGACCATCCCTACAAATAAATGTACAGCAATGGAAGGTTTAAGTTAAAGCTAAATGAGGAGTTGCTACATGATGATATAATAATGCTGACCAGGGTGGGGGGTGTCTATGAATGACAGTAATATGGTGAATGGAAAGGAAGTAAGTTTGGGTTTTTACCAATTTATGAGGACAGAAGAGGTTTGTGGTTTTCTTCTAAATGTTAATGCTCACAAGTTCAGACCCAAAAACATTTTTAAATTAAACTGAAACATGTTTGAGGCTGGTCCTTCCTAAGTGAATGACTTATTCAATTACATAGAAAATGTGACTTTTCAATTAGGGTGAAACATGTCAGTCGTTTAAATTCTACTGTCTTAAATTAACAATGTCAACCAAAATTTAAAGGGATATAAAACATTGAACTTTAATCATTATTGCTAAAGCTAAGGTGGTGACTTAAGTGCAAGTCAGAGTGAGTTAGCAAAAACAAAACTTCAGCCTTGTCACACTAATCCTTTTGTGTGGTGAGAAACAGTGAATGGAATGTTTACTACTGAGTCCTGTGTGACAGACAGCATCATGAAAGAGGCTCCATTATAGCCCTGTGGAGATGTGATGATTCACTTTACAACCAGCTTATCATGATGGGTTGTTGGAAAACAAACACTTCCTGTTTCACTCACTGTGGCGTAGAGGTATTAGCAGAATGTGACTGAATGAATATTAGTCTTGAGGGTGAGGATATCTTAAGGTAGGGCTCCGAACTTAATTACATCCATAATTAATTTTTATTTTGGCTCCAAAGAATAATAATTAAAAAAAAAAACATAAACAAGAAACATCTTTTCACACCCCGCTTTGCAAACGTGCATTTTTTTTTGTCATGTTTGGTGAATGATGTGCAATTCTACCCTTTCCAAAGGCTAGGTGTTTAGTGATTTCTTTTTAAAAGCAAGTAAGCAGGGTGAAAGCAGCATGCACCATATCAAACCTCGTGTAACCAAGTAAATGAGGAATGATGACTGTCTCATTTCTTAGGTGTTCATCAGAGAAGGCCAAGGCAGTAGCTCAGAGTTTTTTGCCCATTCTGTCATGGCTGCCCTCCTATCCGGTGAAGCAGTTCCTGTTTTCAGATGTAATCTCAGGTCTCAGCACTGGGGTCGTGCAACTCCCACAAGGTCAGTACATCCTAGTCTCTCATACACTGCAGTAGCTGTGAGCCAAGTTAGTGATCTGGAATCATTTAAGAGTAAATAGGTGAGAAGGGCCAGCTGTAGCCCTTCTGTTTTTGGTTCCTTGCTGCTTTTCTTTTCCAATCTCTGTGGTTTTGACGCTGTGATGCAATCACTTGGCTTTCCTCTGCTCCACAGGTCTTGCTTATGCTCTGCTGGCTGCTGTGCCTCCAGTTTATGGGCTGTACTCCTCATTCTACCCCGTTCTGCTCTATACTTTTTTTGGCACGTCCAGGCACGTATCAATAGGTAAGACATCACTCTTTTGAGACATACTGTTACCAAATTTGGTCACAAAAGACAATAAAATGTTTCATGTGAATAATCGAATTATCTCATTTGAAGTCCTGCCAGATTATCGACTCAAATATCAAATACAGACATTTTTCCTTAAGCTCCTCCCACTTACACACATTTGGCCAGGTTTTCATACCTCCTTAGGTTAAACCAAACCACACTTGCATGCTGCACCATCTGTACAGCTGTACTTCTAACCATCAGACCCATTAATCCCAATCTCTGATATACAGGTGCTGGCCAGTAAATTAGAATATCATCAAAAGGTTGAAAATATTTCAGTAATTCCATTCAAAACGTGAAACTTGTACATTATATTCATGCAATGCACACAGACCAATGTATTTCCGATGTTTATTACGTTTAATTTTGATATTTATAGGTGACAACCAATGAAAACATCAAATCTGGTATCTCAGAAAATTAGAATATTCTAAAGGCCAATGAAAAAATGTTTGTTTCTCTAATGTTGGCCAACTGAAAAGAATGAACATGAAAAGAATGTGCATGTATAGCACTCAATACTTAGTCGGGGCTCCTTTTGCCTCAATAACTGCAGTAATGCGGCGTGGCATGGACTCGATCAGCCTGTGGCACTGCTCAGGTGTTATGAGAGCCCAGGTTGCTCTGATAGTCGTCTTCAGCTCCTCTGCATTGTTGGGTCTAGCGTATTGCATCCTCCGCTTCACAATACCCCATAGATTTTCTATGGGGTTAAGGTCAGGCGAGTTTGCTGGCCAATCAAGGACAGGGATACCATGGTCCTTGAACCAGGTGCTGGTGGTTTTGGCACTGTGTGCAGGTGCCAAGTCCTGTTGAAAGGTGAAGTCTGCATCCCCATAAAGTTGGTCAGCAGCAGGAAGCATGAAGTGCTCTAAAACTTCCTGGTAGATGGCTGCATTGACCCTGGACCTCAGGAAACAGAGTGGGCCAACACCGGCAGATGACATGGCACCCCACACCATCACTGACGGTGGAAACTTTACACTGGACCTCATGCAACGTGGATTCTGTGCTTCTCCGCTCTTCCTCCAGACTCTGGGTCCTTGATTTCCAAAGGAAATGCAGAACTTGCTTTCATCAGAAAACATAACTTTGGACCACTCAGCATCAGTCCAGTCCTTTTTGTCCTTGGCCCAGGCGAGACGCTTCTTGCGCTGTTTCTTGTTCAAGAGTGGCTTGACACACGGAATGCGACACCTGAATCCCATGTCTTTCATGAGTCTCCTCGTGGTGGTTCTTGAAGCGCTGACTCCAGCTGCAGTCCACTCTTTGTGGATCTCCCCCACATTTTTGAATGGGTTTGTCGTCACAATTCTCTGCAGGGTGCGGTTATCCCTAGAGCTTGTACACTTTTTTCTACCACATTTTTTCCGTCCCTTCGCCTGTCTGTTAATGTGCTTGGACACAGAGCTCTGCGAACAGCCAGCTTCTTTAGCAATCACCTTTTGTGTCTTGCCCTCCTTGTGCAAGGTGTCAATGATTGTCTTTTGGACAGCTGTTAAGTCAGAAGTCTTCCCCATGATTGTGGTGCCTTCAAAACAAGACTGAGGGACCTTTTAAAGGCCTTTGCAGGTGTTTTGAGTAAATCAGCTGATTAGAGTGGCAGCAGGTGTCTTCTATATTCAGCCTTTTCAGAATATTCTAATTTTTTGAGATACCAAATTTAGAGTTTTCATTAGTTGTCACTTATGAATATCAAATTTAAATGTAATGAACATTGGAAATACATTGGTCTGTGTGCATTGCATGAATATAATGTACAAGTTTCACGTTTTGAATGGAATTACTGAAATATTTTCAACCTTTTGATGATATTCTAATTTACTGGCCAGCACCTGTATGTTAAACACACTGCAGGCACTTTATTAGGTACACCTTGCTTGTTCAGGGTTGGACCTTTTTGCCTTCAAAACTGCTTTAATTTTGTGGCACTGACAGGTTTTATTGACCGACCGAGGCCATATACAGATGTCGCTGGTTTTTGTAAAGCTGAATCATCCCTGACCAGTGGGTCCATACCACTTCATTTTCACTAAAACTTCTTGTTCATTATGAAGTACACTCATAGTCATGCCAAGCCTGTAGTTCCTCAAGTCTTTGGCATCTTTGCAGAAAAAACATGTGTTGGAATAACCAGGTGGTGGGCAATAATTGTTCTTAACGTTGTTCTTTACCTGCGATGTTCTAGAGCGGTAATTGAACTTGTAAAAACAAGGAAGTGAGTGTAAGCACAGGTCACATATGTGATGTCAGTCAGAACATATATTTCCTGGACAGTGACATTGCAAAACCTAAACCCCAAGTTCTTTACATCCACCCTCAAATGGTGACAACAGATAATATACAAATATCCACTTATATCCACTAGTTTTTGAAAGAATAGTTTTTGGTGCTCCACCATATCTATCTAACCGTCTAGCCTGATGTGTTCCATCATGGCCGCTTAGGTCTACTCTTGGACTTTTGGAAGTTCCAATGGTAAATCGGGTCACTAGAGGAGAGCAAACTTTTTCATTTCTTGGACCTAAATTATGGAACGATTTCCGCTGGAGGTTAGACAAGCTCTGTCATCGGATGGGTTTAAGAGTAGATTAAAGACCCAATTCTGTTCTTTAGCTTTTCTATAGGACTTGGGGGGAGTCTGGTTTTATTTAGTGTATTTTATTGTCTACTGCTATTGTCTGGGTATGATACAGTTTTATAATTTTATAAATTTTACTAGTTGTATTGTTATGTTTACTTTTTGTAATTTTGATGAAACTGCTAAACGCTGGTGTGTTTTTAATTGTATCATGTACAGAACGTTGGGCATGAAAAGTGTCAGAAGGTGCTTTATAATTAAACGATGATGCCATTTCTTCACTTTCATGTGGATGACAGGAGACCAAGTTGTAGAAAAGTATTTTCATATTATGGTACACCCAGCTACGTGTTTCCATGGCCTGACATGGGGACTGTGGAGGCCGTCGTCATGGTTTGAGATGATTCCCTTAAATCTTCTTGATGCTGATGCTCAGTAACTAATGAAGCAGCCTGCGTGTTTACTATGTGGACCACCAGTAGTGGCACACATTGGTTGTAGCTTACATTTCAGAAAGCTTGATTCATCTCATAAAATGTATTATTGTAGAGTCTGTATCCTTTATAAAGTCATCTTCAGCCAATACCAAATTTCTTAGACTGGACTAAGGTCTGGACTCAGTGGTGGTCAGTCCATGTGTTACTGGAGCCATTAGGATTCTGGCATTGTCCTCAGGGAAGGCAAACCCAGCCTGTTGGGAAATCCTGGTCATTTATTGCATTTAGGTGGTCAGATAATATCATTATTTTTTATTTTTTTGGGCCAGAACATTTTTTAAATCCTGACTCGGCCAGCTGAAGCAAAGCCGATCAAACAAGAGACAGATTTCTACAAGATACTTGTTACTCACCACGGTTTATTGTGCACTCTGCAGTTCTTAACTAAACTTCAGCTCCAGCAGGCCGTTGTTTTATTTGTTTGATACCTGATGTTGTTTTGAGAAGGAGAAGCTACTTACTATGTCAGTCTGAGTTATACGTCTTGTTGGTAGTTGAAACTTTCACCACTTCAGTACATTTCTGGTCCAAAGGCTTATATTTTATGAAACGAAAGTGACTGTAGCTTTGTTTTTGGCTTGGTCCTGTAGCGACGCTAGAGGGGAGTCTGAGGGTGTAACAGTAGATAGATCAGATCATGTTCCTAGATCTGGGTCTGTGGGGAACTGCTGCTTAGAGCCTGGTGGGTATAACACCTGTTAAAAAAAGTGGCCCAATAAGCTGCTGTGGTTACTCAGTTTACATATTTGAATGCTTTTACTTGTAAAGGCTGACTGTTTGAATTCAAATCAGGTTTTGCTACACTGACTGTTTGCTTGTGAACGTCCCTTGGGTAATAACTCCTTGATACAACCTGGAAGCTTTTAGGCAGATTTTGTGTTTTAGGGAAATAAAATCAGAATCAGCTCTTCTAAATCCGAGACCATGGTCTTGAATCGGAAAAGGGTAGAATGCCTTCTCCGGGTCAGGGACGAGGTCCTGCCCCAAGTGGAGGAGCTTAAATACTCAGGGTCTTGTTCACGAGTGAGGGAAAGATGGAGCGTGAGATCGATAGGCAGATTGGCGCTGCATCTGCAGTGATGCGGGCGTTGTACCGGTTTGTCGTGGTGAAGAAAGAGCTGAACCAGAAGGCAAAGCTCTCGATTTACCGGTCGATCTACGTTCCTACCTTCACCTGTGGTCATGAGCTTTGGGTAGTGATCGAAAGAACAAGATTGCAGATTCAAGTGGCTGAAATGAGTTTTCTCTGAGGGTGTCTGGGATCTATCCCTTAGAGATAGAGTGAGAAGCTATCAGGGAGGGGCTCTGAGTAGATCTGCTGCTGCTCCACATCGAGAGGAGCCAGTTGAGGTGGTTCGGGTATCTGGTCAGATAGCCTACAGAACGCCTCCCTGGTGAGGTTTTCCAGGCACGTCCAACCAGGAGATGGCCTAAAGGTAGACCCAGGACACGCTGGAGGGACTATGTCTCTCACCTGGCCAGGGAACGCCTTGGGATTCCCCCAGAGGAGCTGGCCCAAGTGGCTGGGGAGAGGGAAGTCTGGGCCTCTCGACTTGGGCTACTGCCCCCGTGACCTGACTCCGGATAAGTGGAAGAATGGATAGAAATAAAATGTAGGCTGTTGGTTTGGGGGATAAAGTTATCCAGCAGATAAAAGACTTATTTTTGTTTTTGGCTTTTTAAATGAAAATGTTTCTGAAAATTACTTCTAGTGCTGCTATTTTACTTTTCTGTGTAAAGTCAAATTGATGATGTAGTTGTCATCTGCTATAAAATATATTGGGCAGTATAGATAAAAATAGACATTATTAGTCTCACATTCACTTGCTAAGGCAGTGCTAACACTTAGAAATAGGAAACAATAATACAAGCAAATACACAAGGACATTAGGCTGTTACCGTAACCTTCAGCAATCAACAAGTAAAAAAAAAATAGAGTAAAAGTAGAAAATTGAGTTTCAAAGAGGAAACAGCATAAAAGACAGAGACATAAATGTGCATCTGGATATTGCACAGGTATTTCACATGCACTGAATATAGCTGCAGGTTGTCAGATGATTAGATCATATAACCTTTAGCATGTGTCTGATCCTGGGCCAAGTGCTTCTGGGGAGCATGTTCTTTTACGCTGACAGGTTTAAAAGTCACCTGAACGTGTTCTTCTTTGACTTAATAAGTCTGGGAAAGAGGAGTCTTGTGGTTTTTTAATCCACGCTGGCAGGCTTAGTTTCTAATCTTCATTACTGCATTGTGCTGTTAAATAAAAGGGTGTTACGCAGACGGGTACCAGAACCGTTAAAAGCCTCTAGACCACCACATCACACAAAAATACCAGTTTGTTAGACAGGATTATAAGTGTAAGAATTAAAATAAAAAACAGCTGTGAGCCATGCCCTCAGCCAACATGATGGGCGGTATTATGAAGTAAACACTCTGTCTTCTCAGATGTCAGTTGCCAAATGGGAGTAACAAACTACCACAACCTTTTAAAACAGAAAAGCTGGCCAAAACCAAACTGAAAAGCAACAGGAAGCTGTGAGACGCTCCTCTCTGCGGGTTTCCCCAGATAAATAACAGTTTGGAAATTACACCAGAAGTTCAGGAGGACGGTGTGAGAGGAAGGACTGGGCAGCTGTTCAAGTGGAGAGCGTGTCCTTTTCCCTCAGAGATATGTGGACTTGGCTGATTCACTTGAAGGCCATGACCTCCGTATTTCCACTGGAAATCACACACAAACATGAGATAAGTAGGGCTAAGGTGAAGCGCCTTCCTGTCTGTTTGGGTTTGTGTGCCGACCACCACAGATTAGAGACCAAGACACAGACCTGAAAACTGTGATGTTCCTGTGCAAGGCTAATCATTATCAGGGTTTCCCCTAGCGCTTTATAAGCCTGGTGGGCCACCAGGCCAGGCAACCCACCCCACGCTCCGGCTCCGCCGGGCTTAGCAGGTTTTCTGGAGGTAACCCGGCATTATGTTTGTTTAAATGTTAACATTTCGCTGAAAGGTTGTACGAGAAGATTTTCTAATGTGACGAACACTGAAGTGAGCTTTGACGGGTTTTGTCTTTTTTATTTTGGCGGTTGACTGGAGTGTGTGGACTCCTGTAATGTTCACATGCTAATACTGAATACAAGTGCACAGTGGAGGAGACACTCGTCTGCATCAGTGTTAATAAAAATGAGTTATGATGAAGGGAGTCTGGTGGACACGCAACACTTTTGAGATTTGTCCATGAGATAAAGATGTGGAGCTGAACATTTCAGAGGTATTTACCACATCCATACAAGAATTCAATAACATTTTATAAAGGCTTTTTTGAACTGGCTGACATTAAAGTCTGGCCTCTACCCAACATGGGACAGGTTTAGTATCCACTCTGTTACTGTTTCTCCTCTTTCTAATTAACATTGGTCCTAAATCCAGCTTGTGGCCTTTCCATACAGCCTGGTGCTTAGTGTAATCATTACCAACAATGGCATGCTGGGTTCAGACTGGCACAGACCGGTCTAAAAACTATATTTAGACACGGGCATCAGGAAAAATCATTCTCACACTTTAGGTGCATAGATTCAGTGTTATACTTTAAGTGATTAGTCTGATGGGAACCTGGATGGATTGATTACAAACAACCACCATTAAAGTGGTGTGTTTGTGTTTCTAACCTGCAGGTACCTTTGCCGTTATAAGTCTGATGATTGGGGGGGTTGCAGTGAGGGAAGCCCCAGAATCCCAGTTTCTATATCCTGTCAATGGTTCAAACTCGTCGGTGGTCTTGAACAAGGATGCTTGTGATGCCAGGAGGGTCCAGGTGGTCGCGGTGCTCACTACTCTCGTGGGAATCATCCAGGTCAGTCTGGGAACAGCCCAAGCTTTCACCTCTTAAATCTGCCTTCAGCTCCAGAGTGGCTGTTATTTAGCTCCAGGATCAAAGAATGCAGTCAGAATTTCTCACGCTCCCAAAATGACTGTTTATCTGAAGCAGCAGGATGTCCAAGTCACTGTTGATGTTTAATTTCTTTCCTTTTAGATGATCTTTGGCCTTCTCAGGTTCGGCTTTGTGTCCGTCTACCTCACAGAGCCTCTGGTGCGAGGCTTTACCACAGCAGCAGCCATGCATGTAGTCATCTCCCAGCTCAAGTACTTCCTGGGGGTGAAAACGAAGCGTTTCTCGGGGCCCCTCTCTGCTATTTATGTGAGTCTGTAGACAACTAGTTTTCTTTCTAGTGAAGTTTACTTTGACACGTCATCCCACTTACATTTCTTCTGCCACTGCAGTCTGTCATAGCAGTATTCAGTCAAATCACCAAGACCAACATTCCCAGTCTCCTCCTGGGCCTGGTGTGCCTCGTGTTCCTGTACGGAATCAAGGTTCTCAACGAGCGCTTCAAGAAGAGGCTGCTTGTGCCCATCCCCGGGGAGATTATTGTGGTTATCGTGTCAACTGGGGTCTCTTTTGGTTTATCCTTGGCAGAGACACATGAAGTAGATGTGGTTGGAAAGATACCAACAGGGTAAGTGTTAACATCAACTGGTAAAAGGAACCATCACGATACCTCTGCCAAAAATATTGACTCACTGGGTTGGATGTGATGAAAGTGTTTGTTTTTGTCTTCTCAGGCTTCGCCCTCCCACTGTCCCAGAGTTCTCTCTGATTCCCAAGTTGATTCCAGATGCTTTTGCTGTGGCCATCGTAGGATTCTCAATGACCATCTCACTAGCCAAGATCTTTGCCCTGAAGCACGGCTACAGCGTGGATGGAAACCAGGTGAGGCAGAGCGTGTGGGGAGTAGATACTAGATACTGACACAGTGTACTGTAGTTTTTCAAAGCTTCTAAGGTTTAGTGTAGAATTTACCATCTACTCAAGCATAGTTCAAATGTTTTTTATTTGCTCTTTATTTAAGCAGGAAGGTCCCATTGAGATTTAAAACCTTATTTTCAACAGAGTCCTGGCCAAGAAAAAGATAGTTACAAAATTACTCAGTTACAGTTACATACAAAAGTATACCCCTATCCCTAATAGCAGGGTGGTTGTGTGGCGCTGTAGCTTCACTAAACTGTTGAAGACACATTAAAACCTGATCTTTTATCCTGTGCTGATTCATAAAGACAGTTTCATTCTAATCGGAGAGCTGTGAGCACTTCTCTAAAGATTTTAATCATAAAACCAGTATCCTGTTGTCAGTGGCTTCCTGGAGAATAGATAAAAAGCTGGTTAATAAGTGCTTGCTATAATAGTCGGAGCATCAGTCTCTGCTGTGACTTCAGTAGAACCTCTTCTGTAAGATAGCTGTTTAATGGGACTTCTTAGAGTTGTGTACACACTCTGTGTCTAACAAGCTGCAGATCAGATCAGACTTGTTTACTGATGTTTCCTTCAGGAGCTGATCGCCCTTGGCCTGTGCAACTTTATAGGTTCCTTCTTTCAGACCTTTGCCGTCACTTCCTCCATGTCGAGGAGCCTGGTGCAGGAGAGCACCGGAGGGAAGACGCAGGTGGGACAGACACTACCTCACTGCTGTACAGCTGGACATAGACTTATGGAATGATGTCTACATATGTCTCTCTGGATGTCTTTATTCAGATTGCAGGGCTGTTGTCGTCTCTCGTAGTGCTGCTGGTGGTGGTAGCCATTGGTTTCGTCTTCCAGCCGCTCCCTCAGGTGGGTGGGGTTGTGGGGGTGTTGACGCAGACTCTGACAGGCTTCTGAAAGGTGACGCTGAAGCATCTTTGCTCTCTTTTGAGTTTGTTCTGCTGTTTTTCAGACGGCGCTTGCTGCCATCATCATGGTCAACTTGATTGGGATGTTCAAGCAGTTCAGAGATATTCCCAACCTCTGGAGGACCAGCAAGATCGAGTTGGTCAGTTGATTCATTGCTCCTGAAGTCAGACATGTTGTTTGTCTCCATTACAATCTCCTTCTCTTCAAGGTTGTGATTCAGTGTTATCATAAGTCTGTGTGTAAGTGGACTGAGGTCCAGCCAGCTCGTGTGTGTGTGTGTGTGTGTGTGTGTGTGTGTGTGTGTGTGTGTGTGTGTGTGTGTGTGTGTGTGTGTGTGTGTGTGTGTGTGTGTGTGTGTGTGTGTGTGTGTGTGTGTGTGTGTGTGTGTGTGTGTCTCTCCCTGGTCTTGGAGGATTTGTCTGTCTACCATGTTCTGATGGAAAAAGATTAAGTAAACTGTCATACAAGTCACATGGCGGGTGAAAAACCAGCGTAAGTCAGTTGAGTCACTTCCTTTTTATTGGTTCCTTCTTTTGGTTTCTATAAAAACTTCACATCCCTGCTTCGAACACTGATTCATACACATATTTTATTTGTTTAAACTCAGTTTGACCTTCAGTCCTTTACCGACTCGTTTTTCTGGCCTTGTTAACACGATTGTTTAGTCTGCTGGTGTCTTGGGTCCTGATGCTGCGACCTCAGCCATCTAAAGCTCAACGACTGAATAAAACATGAAATATTTGTGGTTTTTAAAATAATTATTCCCTTCTGGAAAATGAAAGAACGTGCTGCAGAAGGATGACATCAGGTTCACACAGGTAGGCAAAACGGAGAGAGTCCAGAGCAGATTTACCTTGGGTCCATGATGGGTCGGATAACTAAAATCTTTATGACATGTGACAGAGTCACCGGTCCGGAGTGTGTAAGGTACAAAGTACCTTTTCTTGCAGCAGACTCAGGATACCAGACAGCTTGGAAGTCCAGAACTAAGGACCTGAGGGCTGATCAAGTCTCTTCAGCTGCAGGGCGGTGTTGTGAACAGGGAGGGGGGAGGATGTGGGATGAGTGGTGGTGGGGGTGATCTAGCAGTGGTCCAGAGCTGTACCTGTTGAAGAACAGACCCAGGTAGTTGGTTCTGTCCAGACACCACCCTGCTGCTGACAGTCTTTAATGCTGTCCCTCAACCCTGCCCACACTTCTTTGATGTTCTGATTTTAGGAATCTTTACATCTTTTCAGATCCACGGTTAATCTTGCAGAGTCTTCTTACACTCATCTTTGATACTGGAGCTAAAGTTCCTCTTTTTCTGTCTGAAGGAGCTACAGGTCACTGCTGAGCCAAGGCTCGTTACCGGGGCAACAGTAACCATCCTGGTTGGGATGACTTGAGTCCTGGCAGAAGTTGGTATAATCTATTATACAGTCAGTGATGAAAGTGATGCCTGCCTGATAACGGGTTATCTGAAAAGGTCGTTTACTTTAAAGTTTAGATTTTAAATTTATAAATGGTGAAGGAGGCTTCTGTAACTGAGCCCGGTCCATGCCTGTGAAGAGCTCTATATGTCAGAACCAGAACCTACATTCAACCCGGAGCTGGTGAGAGATTCAGAGCCCTGATTAGTCTAAAGCTGCAGCAGCGTACTTCTCAACCTGCACCCATCTGCAGACTACTGCAGGGATCCGGATGTGATGCTGTGAAGGCGTGTTGCTTTAGGAGTTTTCCCGTATCTGTGCAGTTAAATGTGTCCTCTTTCTTTTTTCCCTCCTCAGGCCATCTGGCTGGTGTCCTTTACAGCATCTGTACTCTTGGGTCTGGACTATGGGCTCCTGGCTGCCATCGCATTCGCCATAATAACTGTCATCTACAGAACTCAGAGGTACAGCTGACGGCTTGCGTCATTTTAGTTGTGTCACCAAGGAAAATGATCAGTGAAATATAGAAATGTTCAAGTTGTTTTTGTTGGTTTTCTTTTTGTTTTGCAGCCCTAGAAGTTCCATCCTCGGTCACGTTTCCAACACGGGACTGTACTACGATGTGAACGAGTACGAAGAGGTGAGTCTGGGAGGAGAGGACAGGTGGGAGCTAACGGGTTCTCAGGTCCTGAAATCTGTTTGTGGTCTGTATGTTTTATTCCCAGGCATCAGAATACGAAGGGATTAAGATTTTCCACTCCAACTCCTCCATCTACTTCGCTAACAGCGACCTTTATGTTAGCAAACTCAAGGAAAAGGTAACCCTAACGCCATGTCTGTGGATGTGGGAAAAGGAAACATTAGCTGCACCTTTTGTCCTCAGGGCTGCTGTTAAAACACCACAAAAGCTAGTCTTCTCTGCAGCTGTTGTGGGAAACATGTGGATGTGAAAACAACATTAGCTGTTGTGTAAATACCCCACACATTAGGATCAAAATGTTCTCACTCATCTCCACAGACGGGATTAAATCCAGAGCAGCTGCAAGAAGCAAGAAAAGCCCTAAAAAAGCAGAAGAAAAAGGCAGAAAAGGACCAAAACTCTCCTCTGAAGGTCTGCGCTAAGGTGAGTCTTCTGTTTCTGTTTACTCCGTGTGTCTGTCTTTATTGACAGAGCAAACTCAGCTCTACTGCATGCCGTGGATTTGTATTTCAGCACGTTCCTCTCCTGTGTGGACTCATGTAAAATTCCTGAGTCAATAAAAAATTGTTATGCAACCCAAAGACATCAGAAGTGTTTCTGTGCCTCTAAATGAAAAGGCTGTAAAATAAAGAGACATAATAGTTAAGATCATGTATTAACTCGCAGCTGTTTCCATAAATTAACAACTTTTATGACCCACTTTAGTACAAGGACAAGACGGTGACCCACGAGGTTGTTCCTCAGAGTGAAGAGGCGCGGGAGCAGAGGAACGGCGAACTGGAGGACAAACGCAGCGAGTCCACCTCTGAGGAGGCCGTCTTCCTGGAGCCCCTCAGCCCGGTCCGCTCCATCATCCTGGACTGGACCACTGCCAGCTTCATTGACTCAGTGGGAGCCAAAGCCATCAAACAGGTTTGACTTTCAGATTACATCTCACTTCCTGTTTGTGCTGCAGTGTCAGTTTAGGACAAGTTTAAATATTAGTGAACATTTAATAACACCAGACTGTTTCTGCAGGTCATTAAGGAGTACGCAGCCGTGGATGTTCGGGTGGTCATCGCCGGATGCAACAGTGAGTGAAAACATCTACAGGCACATTCTGTTGGAATGATTTCTATGTGTAGAAATATCTTCATAGTAGACGTGTTGTTCTTTTAGCTTATTATCCTGATTTGTATTTGTTCATCAGACTGAACGTCTTTTAAAGAAATTTTTATTTTAAAAAGATGTTCTAAAATAGTTTTAGTTGTTTAGCTTTTAGAAGGCTTGCTAGCTTCGATTAGTGTCCAAAACATTTTTGCTCTGGGATCCTGTCTGCAACAGGGAACCTTCAACATGGACACAGGTAAACTAGGATCAGCTCTACAAGCAGGGATAGAGCAATATTTCTGGTGGCTGATATTTAACATTTTTCATTTATAATCCTGAAAAACACTTTAAAACATTGTCATCACACATTTCTGTTTTTCTGTTACGTATTTAATACTTTTACTGACTTGTTTAACTTTAGTTACATGTTTTATTGTACCGCGGACAACATTAAGAGTCAAGTGTTTTAGATGCAGAGTTCAAAGCCTGATTCGGTTTCAGAAATGCTGCACGCCCACTGTTAATAGTTTGGCGTGCAAATAAGAGAGCATTTCTAAACATGGATCGTGACTATCTTCCATTGGCTGACCATGACCTCCATATGTTGGCTGTGGTATCAGCAACAGAAAAACTCATGTTGGCGATGTGCCAAACACACTTCCTGGTGACAGCAAGCTTCTCACAGGTCCGACACACATAACTAAAGTCACACAAGAGCATCTGAGAATGAAACACGGGGCTGAGCTGATCTTAGTCCTGTTGAACAGCTGAGGTCAAATCTGGAAAGGTGTTCGTTTTTGTTTGTGAGGCTGTTGTCTGATCCTGTGTTTGCTTCTTTAAGGAAACCTTCTGGCTGAACTGGACTCCCTACAGTTTTTCACAGGAGACATGAACACAAGCATGGTGTTCCCCACAGTCCACGATGCGGTTCTTCACTGCCAGAACTCCAGCTCCAGATGAAGCCTGATCACAGGAGGGGTCATGACCTGGGCAACTGAACAACCAGGCTGTAGGAACGGAGAACTTGTGTGTCGGCCTCACAGCCAGCAAGAGGACAATCGTTCATATTGAACAGGTTATTTTAGCACTGGTAGATGCTTCTTTCCTCTACTCCAAGAGTCTGGAGTCATCTAAAATATCTCCAAGTGTTAGATGACCAGCTGTCCCAGGAGCCTTACTCGCCCACATCCTCTTGCAGTCGAGAATCGAGTATTTAAAGTTGCACTTCCATTGCCTTTTTGTAGTTCTGGGGTTTTCACTGCCTGGCAGAGATTTTATGCTAGCTGCTACAGCTTGTCTAGACAACAATGCAATAATCATTTCTGGAGTTCAGGTTGGGGTCTTGATGCATCTGACACTGATCATTTCTATCATGGTACCTAACGTCTATGGTTACTGAATAAATGTGCCGTACTGAAGGTTTATTTTTAAACTGGTTACATGTCGTTGTGTATTTAAGTTGGAAAAGATCACAACATATTTTCTAGTGTCATGTCTGTTACTGCGCTGCTGCTTCAGAGTGCAAACCTTTCTACTGAAACTTTGGTGTAATGCCAACTTAAAAAGTGGTTCATGTAAAACTCAAGAGACTTACATTTGGAATAAACTTTATTTTTAAGTGGACAAAAATGGAAAACATTTGTGTTTTAGACAGTGAACTTCTACATCAGAAACACTCAGTTGTAGGTCATGTATCTTGGGGTGGCGCTGAACTTGGCATAAGATTTGATGACCTTGTTCACGGCCTCCAGGAAGTCCTTCTCTGTGGCGATCTTCCTGCGAGCCCTGATGGCGAACATACCCGCCTCCGTGCACACGCTTCGGATCTCCGCGCCTGTTGGCAAACACGAGATGTGAGCGCTGTATGACGCAAAGTCAAACGGGTTTCATGCTTTTTATCATCATTAGCCTGACTCATCAAGGGTCACCCACTCCTTACTGATTAAATAATTGCATCGTGCTGCGTTTGGGATGACGTCACACCTGAGTTAACTGTTCCAGCTTCCAGGGCTAAACAAACAGCAGGCTGCACAAAACACCTTGTTTAAACAGACTGGATGATAAAGTGTTATTGGTTTATGTCTGTAAGACTTCTCAAGTTAATGAGAAAAATATCAAAATGTTACGGAGACTGAAATACTGATCCTAGGAAAATAATGTTTTTTAAAAGTATTTTAGAACTTGAATTAAAAACATTTTAGGTTTCAGAGGCATCACTGTGCTTATGTGAACCCTACTCACTACTGGGAAGGTTAACCTTTTAAAACCCAATAGAATCAAATATTTAGAGAAAGTCGCCCTAATGGGACAGGAGGTTGAGCGAGTTGTCCAGTAAAAGGAAAGTTGCAGGTTTGATGCTGGCTCCGACCAAAGAATGCACCTGTTGTGTCCTTGGGCAAGACACCTTGCCTGCTAGTGTTCAGAGGGACCGGTGGCGCCAGTGCTCGGCAGCCTCGCCTGTCAGTGCGCCCCAGAGCAGCTGTAGCTACATCGTAGCTCATCCCCACCTGTGTGTAAATGTGTGTGTGAGGTATAGAACCCCAAGGCTGTCCAATACAGGCCATTTACAGTTTAATGCAACACTGCCCCCTGGTGGCCTCAGACCAGAACCACACTTAATGCAAACATTTATGAATGTCATCACAGCTGGTATATTATGAGGGAAGCAGGGACCATCTCTTTTGGTTTAGAGTGTTACTATTAAAAAGTTTGTAAAGGAAAACAGACACGGATTTGAGATGCTCACAAGTCTCAAAGCACTTCACTTAGAAAACTTTCCAATACAGGTCAGTTTATTAGGCCAATCAGTAAAAAGTTTCCTATATAAGGAACCCAGAAAATTGGATCGAGTCACTGACTAGTGTCAGAGTATTTACAGCAATCCTCACAGAAGCACACGATGTTACTAAAACCTGAGAAGTGATAAATAAACATAAGTTAAGAATCTTAAAGTGAGAGTCAAGGCATGGGTGGAGACGTATTTCATCCACACTTCCCGTTAGGAAAACACTTCTGAAAGAGGCATCTCCTGGCAGACAGACAGAGCGGCACTGAGGCAGTGGTAGATCTCAACCTCCTGCGTGTGCTGTCGGGAGTTTCTCAATCTGAAAACGATTTGTTAACGAGCGCGTGCACCCAAGCACGCACTCACACAAGACTTACAGCTCAGGATTAAAGCAGACACAGATTCTGCAGCATTCTGGAGGATTTACTGTTAACCACGATCATTAGATGAAAATGCTGAGGAGGGCAATTTTTCAAGGAGGCGAGCGGCTCAGAGAGCCAGCGTGTCATATTGGCAGGTGAGTGGCTGAGCCAGGTGGAGGTGCGGCTGCCTCACCTGGAGACCAGTGCAGTGCAGCCACGTAGTACTTTGCTGAAAATGTCACGTTTTTCATCTTGGCCATAAACCACAGCTGGTTCTACATAAATGTGGAGCAGAGTTTTTAACCTGAAGATGGAGATATACAGGTGCTGGCCAGTAAATTAGAATATCATCAAAAGGTTGAAAATATTTCAGTAATTCCATTCAAAACGTGAAACTTGTACATTATATTCATGCAATGCACACAGACCAATGTATTTCCAATGTTCATTACATTTAAATTTGATATTCATAAGTGACAACTAATGAAAACTCCAAATTTGGTATCTCAAAAAATTAGAATATTCTGAAAAGGCTGAATATAGAAGACACCTGCTGCCACTCTAATCAGCTGATTTACTCAAAACACCTGCAAAGGCCTTTAAAAGGTCCCTCAGTCTTGTTTTGAAGGCACCACAATCATGGGGAAGACTTCTGACTTAACAGCTGTCCAAAAGACAATCATTGACACCTTGCACAAGGAGGGCAAGACACAAAAGGTGATTGCTAAAGAAGATGGCTGTTCGCAGAGCTCTGTGTCCAAGCACATTAACAGACAGGCGAAGGGACGGAAAAAATGTGGTAGAAAAAAGTGTACAAGCTCTAGGGATAACCGCACCCTGCAGAGAATTGTGACGACAAACCCATTCAAAAATGTGGGGGAGATCCACAAAGAGTGGACTGCAGCTGGAGTCAGCGCTTCAAGAACCACCACGAGGAGACTCATGAAAGACATGGGATTCAGGTGTCGCATTCCGTGTGTCAAGCCACTCTTGAACAAGAAACAGCGCAAGAAGCGTCTCGCCTGGGCCAAGGACAAAAAGGACTGGACTGATGCTGAGTGGTCCAAAGTTATGTTTTCTGATGAAAGCAAGTTCTGCATTTCCTTTGGAAATCAAGGACCCAGAGTCTGGAGGAAGAGCGGAGAAGCACAGAATCCACGTTGCATGAGGTCCAGTGTAAAGTTTCCACCGTCAGTGATGGTGTGGGGTGCCATGTCATCTGCCGGTGTTGGCCCACTCTGTTTCCTGAGGTCCAGGGTCAATGCAGCCGTCTACCAGGAAGTTTTAGAGCACTTCATGCTTCCTGCTGCTGACCAACTTTATGGGGATGCAGACTTCACCTTTCAACAGGACTTGGCACCTGCACACAGTGCCAAAACCACCAGCACCTGGTTCAAGGACCATGGTATCCCTGTCCTTGATTGGCCAGCAAACTCGCCTGACCTTAACCCCATAGAAAATCTATGGGGTATTGTGAAGCGGAGGATGCAATACGCTAGACCCAACAATGCAGAGGAGCTGAAGATGACTATCAGAGCAACCTGGGCTCTCATAACACCTGAGCAGTGCCACAGACTGATCGAGTCCATGCCACGCCGCATTACTGCAGTTATTGAGGCAAAAGGAGCCCCGACTAAGTATTGAGTGCTATACATGCACATTCTTTTCATGTTCATTCTTTTCAGTTGGCCAACATTAGAGAAACAAACATTTTTTCATTGGCCTTTAGAATATTCTAATTTTCTGAGATACCAGATTTGATGTTTTCATTGGTTGTCACCTATAAATATCAAAATTAAACGTAATAAACATCGGAAATACATTGGTCTGTGTGCATTGCATGAATATAATGTACAAGTTTCACGTTTTGAATGGAATTACTGAAATATTTTCAACCTTTTGATGATATTCTAATTTACTGGCCAGCACCTGTAATTATGGTTTTGGTCTGAAATATTAAATTTAGAGTAAGTTGCACAAAACTGCCACACTAATGACTACACATGTGTACAGCACCATTGGATACTCATCTATACGGGTTATCAGCAAAAAAAAAAAAGTTAATTTAGACGTTACTTGCTCTTTAAGTTCACCAAGCAAAGCTTCATTCTTTTAAACCTAATTAAACCGTATCTGGGAATAATAGCATTAAACAAACGAGGCATATCTGAGGGTCTAGGTTTTTAAGGCCTTAAACTGTTAAATCTAAACAACCACACAGTAAACTGTTATTCTCTTGTCTCGTCTTCTTCCGCCTATCCGGGTCGCGGGGGCAGCATTCCAACTAGGGAGTTCCAGACCGTCCTCTCCTCGGCTACCTCCACCAGCCAGTGTTGCCAACTCAGCGACTTTGTCACTGTTCCTAACGACTTTTTTTTCCCAAAAAGCGCCTAGCGACAAACCTAGCGACATTTCTCAGGACCCGTTGCTACTTTCTGTAGAACTTTTTTGTAGATATTCCCCACAGATTAGCAACAAAGAAACCATTTGCACTCTGAACCGTTCTACCGGGAGTAAGGAAAGAGAACGACAATCTGCACATGTGCACGAGAACTGACCAATCATAAACCGTTTTCGGCCGGGCTGATTCGCCGAAAGGTGCAGCTGCAGAGCTGCAGGCTCACGCTTCTACTAGAGACGGCGCGGGCGTCAACCTGCCATCTCTGGTTCTGCAGCCGTCAGACACTTTGGCTTTTCCTGCATTTGGCAAATACAGTCATCGGGAGTTTCAACTAACGTCCCGTTTACACGCGCAGCTCTGTGGCTCATCTGAATTTCCTTCAGTGACACAGGGATGGTGCTCAATGCGCCGCTGTTATCACGATGGAGAGAATACACAACAGAGGTGTAAAAAAACAGCTTTTTAGGAAAATGTCTGAGAATGAGGAGCGCAGGAGGTCTGAGGTATATCCTACAACAGAACTGTTTGGATCACCACACCATATCAGTCTTAATGCCACTTTATTGATACTTTTGGAATTTATTGTACATATCAAAGCAATTTGGGCCATTTTAATCATACTAATTAATAACATTAACACATAACACAGTTTTTATTTTTCTCCCTTTTAGTCTTATCTATCTATCTATCTATCTATCTATCTATCTCTATGGGGAAAATGAATGCTAAAGTGGCGTGATGACGCCATTAATATGTAAATTAGCACGTGACGTCATCTGGCGACATCTACCAACTTTTGGGGGAACTTCAGCTCCTTTCAGTCAAAAACAGTTGGCAACACTGCCACCAGCTCCTCCGGTAGGACCCCAAGGCATTCCTGGGCCAGATTGGAGCTGTACTTTCTCCAACATGTCCTGGGTCGACCAGGGGCCCCCTGCCGGCAGGACATGATTGAAACACCTCCCTAGGGAGGCGTCCAGGAAGCATCCTGACAAGATGCAGGGTTTCACTTACATAGGCGTAACAGTGGCGGCCCACCACGGCTGAAATCCCAGCGCCACGCCTACAAGATCCCAAGTTTTATTGATTTTTTTTTCCTTTTTTTGCACAGATTGCCGAAGAAGCAGCGGGAACTACCCTGTTGTTGCTTGTGATCACAGCCGGCAGGCAGCAAGGAGGAGGAGGAGGAGGCAGGGCAGGGTGGTTACAGCTAGGGATGAGCCGGATACTCGTTTCAGACGAGTATCTGGTACAGATAAAGCATTTTTGATGAATAAGAGCATGAAACGAGTAAAACTCGTAAATCTCTGTAATCGTGCTGAAGGAAAATCCTCATTAGGCAACTGCCTTCACGCTCTGTGATTGGTCAGTTACATAGAGCACCCGTCCCTCCCTACACACAAAACTCTGCAGCCGGGAGCACAGTCTGGCCCATCCACACACACAGACAGTAACAGATCTCTGTGCTGGCTTCACTGTTGCTCACGTTTCTTCAGTGCTCCCTAGGTTTACTTCAGCTCGCCTCTTTTTCGGTTGAATATTTAAAGTTACTTTTTTCGTAACGTACGTGGTGCATTTGACAAGACCGAGCTGAAAACGGCTCGTGCGCGCGTCGGTCACTGCCTCCGCTCCGGTCGGGTTTTTTTATTTATTATTTTAACTCTCTCTCACACACACACCTCAATCAACATTGTTTTGTTTAACTGTGGGGGGGGGGGGGGGGGGGGGGGGGGGGGAATGCCAACAACGTTAGGAAAAAATCTGTTTAATCAAATATAAAAAAAAAAAAAAAAAAGTTGTGTCTGGTTCTAGTATTTCATATTTCCTAGTTCTTACTGCATGAGTTCAGATGTATTAATCCATGCACTCACATATTCATGTTCTGATTTTACTGAAAAACTTGTTCTGTAGTTCCTTTACTATTGTGATCAAAAATATTTTATCTAAATTCTGAGGCTGCTCTGTAAATAGTTTTCAAATAAACAATACATATAGCAACTTCTGATCAATCCATATCAATTTCAGATTTAAAATAATGTATTGATGTAAACCACACCCATTAATTTCCAAATAATTAAGGTGCATTCATCTGTGTATCTCCTTTGATTCGCATTAGTGATATTTTCAGCACCAGAACAATGAAGTTTGTTAGTAATTTTATTTATTAGGTGCATCTGACCTGTTCTATTTGTCTCTGAAATGAGATCAAATCAGTGCTTCTATGGGTTGTCTCCTCTCTGCACTAGAAAAATTTACTTTATTATAATGTTCACAGTAATGCATCTTGATGTTCTTATCAAATAAATTAAATCAAAGATATTGGTCAATAATGCCAAATATGTAAATTTGTGTTTCAGTCATTTTCATACTGGCTCAAAAATACTTCATTAAGTCTACTAAGCAGGGGTATAGAACATTTTTAATAGGGCCAGCCCAGTAATGATCTTGGACCAAAATAAAGGGGGCAAAAGGAGATGTTTTTCCAGACGCCAAGAAAAATTAAATGCCAAATCACCCCCTGCAAAGTGTGTCACTGAGAGTTTAAAACAAAAATAATTCTTGTGCAAATATTGGTGTATTCACCTTTAATACTAGTTAATAAAATGTAGCAGTTGCTGGATTGGTGCAGTTCAAAGTGGAGTGCATCAAATAAAACAATATCAACATAAAGGTGAGACGTGTCATAATTTCTAATTTAAACAAATAAACTGCGTATTACATTAGAACGTAAAAGCAGGTGGGACGCTCGGGAGGAGCTGAGTGTTTTAGTGCATTCAGGCTTCATTTAGATGTGTACACTTCAAATTTAAAATTCTTGAAACTGAGAAGTATAAAAAATTAGGTGGAAAAGAAAAAAGCTCCTTAAACCACCTAAGGGTTTGCTGCTGATGGTCGATACATTCATCCAGTCATTCATCTAAAACAACTAGGTATTCTGTAACCATTACCAGGAGGTAGGACAGAACCGTTTCTACAGTAGACAGATGGGGATGAGTCTTACCGGTGCTGTTGGGGCAGAGGCGGGCCAAAAGCTCAAAACGAATATCTCTCTCTACGCTCATGGAGCGGGCATGGATCTTAAAGATGTGGGTGCGACCCTGGAACACATAACAGAAGGGGTGAGCTCATTTCTCATGAGAGAAAAGAAATTATCTCAAAAAGTTTTTGGATTCACAGAAGAAATAACTTGTTTTATGATCTCACCTCCAGATCAGGCAGACTGAACTCAATCTTCCTGTCCAGACGTCCCGGTCGCATCAGGGCCGGGTCCAGAGTGTCGGGTCTGTTGGTGGCCATCAGAACTTTGATGTTGCCTCGAGGGTCGAAGCCGTCTAGCTGGTTGATGAGCTCCAGCATGGTCCTCTGGACCTCGTTGTCGCCACCAGCGCCGTCATCAAAGCGAGCACCTGGCAGGTTCAAAAACAGAAGATGGCTCGAAAAACAGCCTTTTGGACAAAACTAGCTGCAAAAACGAAGGATTTGTGAGAATCACAGCACAGATAAGATCCTTACCTCCGATAGCATCGATTTCATCAAAAAATATCAGGCAAGCCTTCTTAGTCCTGGCCATCTCGAACAGCTCGCGGACCATCCTGGCTCCCTGGAAACACAAACAGAGTCAGGAACGAAAACTTTTCATGCTAACTGCCCCCCTGCCGCCGCCGGAGGAGAACTCACCTCTCCCACATACTTCTGCACCAGCTCGGAGCCGATGACTCTGATGAAGCAGGCGTCAGTTCGGTTGGCCACAGCTCGGGCACACAGGGTCTTTCCGGTGCCGGGGGGACCAAACAGCAGCACTCCTTTAGGAGGCTCAATACCCAGGTTAACAAATCTCTCAGGCTGGTGGAGAGAGGACAGATATGTTAGCTCACCTCTGATGAAGAAAGAATGCCTAAATGAAATGAAAAGCTCCGTTTACAGGGCACAGATTGTTTTGTGGTTAACCACGTTGTTTATAAAGCCGAGTTTAGTTTCACACCCAGGCCCGAGTACGGCTGTCAAACTCACATGAAGCAGAGGAGTTTCAACCACTTCCCTCAGCTTCTCGATCTGCTCCTTACATCCACCAACATCGCTGTAAGTCACATCAGGCTTCTCCTCCACCTACAAAGACCCCGTCAGTCACTGCTTTTTACACCAGACATACTTCTATATAATCGTTTACACACACACCTGCATCATGGTGACGGTGGGGTCGATTTTCGGAGGCAATGGGATGTGGATCTGGTATTTGTTGCGGTCAACCCTTGAGAGACAGAAGGAACACTGTGTTTATCAGACTGCAGGAACGAATCTTTAAAACAACTGCAGCTTTTTTATGCCTTACCCAACTCTCATGCCCTCCTCTATGTCAGTCGGAGCCACCTGGTCACTCAGATCCACCACAAACTTAGCAAACTGTTTGACATTGATGATGTATTTGGGGTCTTCAGAGTCTGCATTGATGATCTTGGTGCATCTGATTGAACAACAGGGAAAATTCACAAAAGAACAGAGTTCACATTTTAGCAACTGAAGCCGCATAAAAAACACAACAATTTTTTAAACAATGAGACATTTCACCCACATTTGACAGAAGGGTCATAACATTATAAGATGCCTTTGGTTAGCTAGCTTAACTTATTCCATCTAAAACCAGCAGCACTGACACTGGTTACCAGATTACTAAGTGAACTGATGCCTCTGATTAAAACTGACTAGAGCTGACACACAAGTCATCTGCTCAGATCATCGAGGCAAGTTGGTCACATCAAAGAGGAAAACAGAAAACATCAGAGCATTAATATGAATACACTGAATCAAGCATTATGGTGTACTGATTTACTCCAAATAGTTGGTAACCATGGTAACAGTCACGTAATTAACTAGTTTTGTAACACTGAGCCATAAGTTATCCCCAGATTACAGTTTTGAGCTCCCGTAAACAAACTACATTTAGAAAAAAAAAAATCTTAGTACCTTTAACAACGAACGACTTGCTTACCTCGCTACCTGTAACGGCTGTTCACTCTGCAGGGTCTGCTTGTCAGCAGCCAGATCCCAGAGGGCTGGTGGAGCCAAGCCTGTGTCCGACTCCTTGATGCCTGCCAAATTCAAAATGCACAACATATAATTCAATGTGAATCCTCTACAGCAGGGTATAGGGCAGGGATCTCAAAATTCAAGACTTTTTAGGACCTTGTAAAAACAAAAATTTTATAAAGACTATCGCAATAAACTAATCGTATAAGCTTTTTAAATACTGCATCGCTTCATTTTCCACTTCAGCAATTAAGACTTTACTAAACTGATTTAAGACTTTTTAAGGGTCTTAATTTTCCTTAAATCAAAGTCAAGAACCCGTGGATGCCCTGCATAGTGTTATTTTAACAGTCTCACTGGAAATTACCATCATGGTTGAGAACATGGGATGGCCATCACACACAGAAAATCAGAAACAAACGATCATCAAACACAACTATAATATGAAAATTGACACCTTTTGTGGATGAATGAAAATATACTAACGAGTCAGATCCACATCAGATGCAGTGGAAATAAATCTAGTTTGGATGTTGATGTTTAATTGTTATTTTTGATATGATGGCCTCACTGTTGCAGGCTGGATGATCTGGCCCAGATGTTGTGTAGTCTAGTGCCACAGGGCAGGGGTAAAAAGAGGTGTTGTGATGGGTGAGGGAGGTCCTGCCGAATGTCGTTGCCTTTTTGACACACTGATCTTTGTAGAGGTCTACTAGGGCTGGGAGTGGGGTACAAATTATCCTCTCTGCAGCTCTCACTACTCACTGCACTTCTCTGTAATAAGTAAAGTGACTAGTTTTCCTTAGAATCATATCAGACTAATCTGATATAAGGAGATCAGAGCACACATGGACTTAAGAGTCATGAATCATGTAACTGCTCACATGTTTTTCTTAATCATATATTTTGTAGCCTGGCAAGCCATACTAAATAATTCTTTAATTTAAACTTTACAAAACAAGAATTAGGTCTAGTTCACTGGGCTATAAATACTGCTTTCATTTTATGACAAATCCAAAATGTTCACTCCTTGGTTTATGACCAAAAACAGCAAACAATAAAAGCTCTTGTCATCTTTCTGTATCAACTTTAAAAAATCTTACAAGAAAACTACAATCTAAGAACTATTGCCCTCACATTTCCCAAGGGTTTATCAAGATCAAATGAAGGGACTCTTCAGCACTTCACAAAGTAAATAAAAACTGCCGTCAAGCCAGCCCTCCGTCAATTTTTATGGGCACAACTACAAGAGAAATTACGGTGTCCTCTTTTGAGTCTTTCAAACTAAAATCACACTTCTAGGATGTGTGTCTGAACGTGCTAATGAACACTTTCTGTACGTGTTAAATTTTGTCTAATATAAAACTGTGTTTTTAATGATTTTATCTATTAAAAAATACTTTAAAGAAAAATAATGAAAACGATTTAAATACAATTTTATGTAACATTGTGTGCAAGATAAAACTGCATTGTTAATGATTTGATCTATTTAAAAAAACTTTTACTTAAAAGAATGAACACGATTTAAACGTTTTTTTGTGTGTACATTTGTGTGCAAGATAAAACTGCATTTAATGATTATATTTATTTAAAAATACTTTAAATTAAAAGAATAAACACAAATTAAAAGTAATATTTTTGCTAAATGGTGGGCAACATAAAACAGATCGAGTACTATATCCTCCCCCAAGTTCTTAAAGATATGATTTGGTATTTCAAAATATCGTATCAAAGTTGGCTCCAAAAACAATTTTGGCTATTCAATGGTTAATTTCTCAAAAACTGTCTGATTGTGCAACATCATTCCACATCACTCCTAAAGTACACATCAAGTACTACATCCTCCCCGACTTTGATAAAAATCAGATGTGGCATTTCAAAATGAAATAAATTCTGGAAGTTGTGCAAATGCAGGGATGGGAGTAGATATTCTGCTGGGGTGGGGCTGGGTTGGTGCCCTCGGACTCCATGGGGCTCTGCGATGCTGCTGCTTTGGACCCTGGCAAGATAAACTGGGGTCTCCATGCTCCATTTCTCTTGTTGCGCCCGTAAAAATCGAAGGAGGGCTTGCTTGACACTCGTTTCCGAACGGAGGGCTGGCTTGACGGCAGTAAATAAAAGATGGGCTATATTTTCGCTGCCACGCTGTGAAATGTTTCTGGTTTCGGCACAAACCTGTCAGCTCATTGATCTTTTTGAGAAGCTGCTGAATATCATCCTCCACCTGTTTAATCTGCCTGGAGTAGGTGCTCTGACCCTGGTGAGACACAGCAAACAGCAACTCAATGGAAATAATCCCAAACGCAAGACAAAAGCCGTTCAAAAACGTCCACAATTAGCACGCATTCGTCAGGTAATACTTACGTATGTTTTGAGCAGAGCGATGTCCCCTTCATCCAACGCTGTAGTGGAAATAAATAAGCACAGGATGATTTTGCTTTATTCTGACGGCGTAGCTGAATCGCTGACACAACCGCTGAACTAACAGGACAGGTAGTATGAACTGATTTAAGAGTTATAATGGGTGAATCATATGTACATTAAAGAATTACATAGTACGATAATCCATAGAGGGTGCTTACATATTAAGTTAGGAAAAAGCTAACATCTGCTATGTAGCTAGCTAATGTCGACGTTTTCTTACGTTTATTACGTGTTTTTAAAATAGGGATATTTTAAACGTACCTCGGATAGGTGCATCTTCCTTTTCTTCTTCTTTAATCTTTCTTTGGTCGTCTCCCAAATAATCCGGCATCTTTAATAAAGGTATACACTAATTTGTTAAGAAGAAACAGGAGCCGCTAAACAGCACAATTACGCAGCAGCTTTGAATTTCCGTTACTGGCCGGAAATAGAAGTCGGAACTAAATACTTGTGGTATTTCATTTGTTTCTTTTTGTGAAGATGATTTAATGGTATTGGCAATATAACTTAATAACATTTAAACCACTGACTTATATTTTACTTTTTAATTCATTTGACTTAGTTTCCACAAATAGTCTAAAGCACGTGCGGAACGCTTAATTCGGAACTACCAGAAGCATACGGAGTTCTCAGTAGCGACACCGGTGAACGCGTTCTCGGATTGGCACTTGCACAGTGAGGCCCATGTGGACCTTCAATGAGCGGGCCACAAACTTCTGCACTTTAGCGGGTTTTCATTAGATAATTGTTCCCGGTAATTGTCTGCTTGTGACCTTTTCCCAACATGCTGCTAGAAGCGACGGACGGTGACGAGACGGTGGTGTTTAAGGCGGCCGCCGGTAAGCAGCTACGAAGGCTACAGCTAGCAGAGCTACTTATGTTACTGCTGTTAATAACGCTAATTTAAAACTCACATTTAGGGGTTTAATATGCGTAGGTTTTGGTGAAAGTTAGAAAAAATGTAATTAATAATAGTTCAGAACGATTTCGGTAGCGTTGCATAATTTAGCTAAAACCTGGTTTTGTAATTTGTTCACTTCTGATTAAATCTTAACTGCCAGTTCTAAATTAAGTCTGTCTTAGATGGATGTCTTATTAACAGAAACGTCATAAAAGATCCAAATAAAAGCTGGTGTTCCTGCTGAAATAGGTTGTATTTGTTTTTTACCAGAGGATACAAATACTTTTTGCTTTTTTGGTGACAGAAACTCTGAGTTTTCTGATCTGTGATCAGATGCTTTACAATTAATCCCAAAGTTCAATTTTACTATGAAAATTAACCTCGTACACAAACATCCTTCAGAAACTCCTCCCAACCATCCACTAACAGTAGTGATGAATGTGATGGGCTTCATGGAGAGGAAACTCCCCAGACTCTAATCCCAACGAGAACTTGAGTCTTCAAGAGGCAGCTGGATCAACAACACATCATGAGCTGGTTGTGAATTTTCAGCTGCCATCAATCAGGAGTTGGACCAGACACTGATCAACAGCATCTCAGAGTTAATTGCAGAGATTTTTTAAAACGATGCTAACATTGACTCTGAATAAATGGAAAATAATTGTGAATGAAACCTTTTAAAAAGTCTGAAATGCCTGTGATGATACTCCCGTAACCATAGAAACATCCTAAAAAGAATCTAAAAATACTGAAGCAGCAGACTTTGTGGTAAACACTTCAGTCATTCTCGAAAGCGTGTGTCTCAGCTGTTCGTGCTGCAGTGGTTCTAGTTTGTTCTTGTTGAATTCTAGCAGCATGTCTTACAAAACTGAACATTTGTTGCCAAGATGTAATAACAAGTTAATAGATATGCTAACTGCTTTGTAACACTCAAAATCATCATTACATGTTAAATGAGCCTTATTAAGGTAGAGAAAGAGAGCTTTTACATAAATTGGCATTTCAACCCTTTTATAACTTGATAATTGAAAGAAATGCCAGAGAATTTTGTATTTTCTGCAAGTGGCCTGAGCCAAAGATGTTTTATTATTTAGTTGTTTAAAAGTAATAATTGATATAAACCTCTTGTAGTGCTTGGATCCTCCACTAGAGGGCAGGCGTTTTGGATTCAATACATCATGTTTTTATTGAAAGTACCAACTGAGGTGTTAAATTCATTGTGTCAAATATACAGTTGTTAGAGTAAACGAAAAAATAAACAAATACGTGCTTATCACCTCACTTTTTACTAACACTACATTTGCTTTAAGTGTTTCTAAAACATTGACTTGAGTTGTGTGTACGCTTGTGTTTTTTCTGTGTTTTTCAGCATCGATTCAGGTTCTGGTGGAGCCGGTGGGGCGGTGGTTCGAGGCGTACATCAGGAGGAGAAACAGGAACCTTTCAGCCTCTTTCCAGGAGCTGGAGGAGGAGGAGTCATCCTCGGAGGAGGAGGATGATGAGGAGTTTCAGCTTCAGGAGCATCCCATGCTCCGAACACTTGATCCTAAAGATTGGAAGGTACTTGCTGTTTTTGCTGTTATTTCTTAAATCTCTCCTATTTATAGTGTGTTTATTCATTTTATTTTATCCTTTGACAAAAATGTTCTGTTAAGTCAGTCCAGAGAATCATTAAATCAGCTTTAAATTTACTGTTGGCACTTTTAAAGAGGTCCTTAACTCATGTTGTTATTATATTTTCTGTAGTCTCTAGTAGGATAAATGATAGATGACCCGCACTTGTATAGCACCTCACGGAGTAAGGACTCCAAAGCGTTTTACACTACAGTGTATCATTCATCCCAGGGTTTCCCTTACATAGGCGTAGCCGTGGCGGGACGCCACGGCTGAAATCCCACCGCCACGCCTATAAGATCCCAAGTTTGTTTTTTTTGCGCTGTTTCCCGAAGAAGCAGTGGGAACTAGTATGTTGTCGCTTGTGATCACAGCCGGCGGGCAGCAAGGAGGAGCAGGCAGGGCAAGGTGAAGTTACAGCTTAAGTTACTGAGTTTAAAATTAGAAAGGTAGCAGTGGATATAATGCTTTTGGTTTACATGTTTCAATAGCATTAAGATAAGCGAGTGTTGACGATCTTGACAGGGTTTCCTCCAGTGCTTACTAGGCCAGGTTCTCCTCCCCCCACCAGGCTAAGCGTCACTTATTCATGTACAATTTATTCATTTTTTCAAGTCTGACTTTAACTGCATCTAATACTGTATTACGGTGTGAGCGCAACAGCGACAACTTAAGATCGATGTGTGAGCAGCGTGAGAGGCCGGGTGTTTTCATCTGAACCCTTAAAACCTCCAGCAGGCTACGCTGCACTATTAATTGGAGGATGTGGTGTTGTGGTAGGCTAAATCCATTTTACAGCATTTACACTGGACTACGTTTTCCGCCTTACGATGTGAAAAATGGTCCCACACCTTTCACATTTTCTGGTTTTTTCGCACTCCACCGGGGTCCACGTTGTCCGCCTTGGCTTAAGAGAAAGTGAAGTTACATTCGCTACTCGCGTGTGCATTCAGTGCAGTGTGTGTGTGCGTCACTTATTTCAGTCCGGGTGAAACATGACCCCGGGCGATTGCTAAGCCATGAATTAATTAAACATGAATTAAACGAATCCTCGAGGCAGAGAATTTGACTCGAGGATTTTTTGTACTCGAATGAAGTCAGTTACGTCTCAAACTGATTGTCCTGACCTGACTTGTGATCAAACGTGATTTTCTTCTCAGAATCAGGATCACTACGCCGTCCTCGGACTCCCACACTTGAGGTACAAAGCAACACAGAGACAAATCAAAGCTGCCCGTAAGTGTTTCTCCTTCGCTGCCTTCCACTAATCCGTTCTCCGGTCGATCCCGACTGTTTCATGGAAATGATCCGTGTCCCTGCAGACAAAGCCATTGTGCTGAAGCACCATCCTGACAAAAGGAAAGCTGCTGGAGAACAAATTGTTGAAGGGGACAATGACTACTTCACCTGTATAACTAAAGGTACAGAATATTATATAATATCATCACTTGACTATTTAGATGGAAATGAAGTTCACTGTGCCACGGTTGATAAATTGGAGAAATGGTTTTTAATTCCGTGCCTGTTGAAGAAACCGCTTCTCCAGTTTACCTTTTTTAGCTCCTAAACTCTTTGTTTGGTATTTTGGACTGCAGCTATTGAAATCCTGTCTGATCCCGTTAAAAGAAGAGCCTTTGACAGCGTCGATCCCACCTTTGACAATGCCGTGCCTTCCAAGAGTGAAGGCAAAGAGAACTTTTTTGAGGTATTTTCTCCCGTATTCGAAAGAAACGCCAGATGGTCATCCAAAAAGCTCGTCCCCTATCTCGGAACGGCTGAGTCTTCTTTTGAAGAAGTGGACAGTTTCTACTCGTTTTGGTAAGTGGAGACCCTTTTAATTATTAATTTCAAAGGAGAAAAAAAAATCTGGATTGAAGACAAGCGGATCATCTCGGTTGTTTTACTGTTAAAGGTACAACTTTGACTCGTGGAGGGAGTTCTCTTACTTGGACGAAGAGGAAAAGGAAAAGGCTGAATGGTGAGTTGGACATTAGTCCTGTTGAAGATCACGGTGAAGGACGACAGTTAAGGGTTGGTCTCAGCCTTCTTGCAAATGGCCGTCCTAACTTCTGCGTGTGAACACTCTTCACTGATCTCTGGTTATTATCTGTTACACACTGCTGTTGGCTGGAGTCACACGTAAACAGTGTCTATAAACAGCAGTGGTATACAATGAGTCTGCAGTCATTATTGAACTGATAAACCATCATCATAAGGTGTAACAACAGCCATGTTTGGTCAAGTTTTCATTCGCTCTTTCACGTTTGGACTTACGGTAACTTTTCTCTGGCAGTCGAGATGAAAGGAGGTGGATCGAAAAGCAGAACCGAGCCTCCAGAGCTCAGAGGAAGAAGGAGGAGATGAACAGAATACGCACGCTAGTTGGTAAAGTCCTCCAGCTGCCACAAACTCATCACCAGTCTTTATTATACGCGTGAACGTGATCATAGATGCTGCTTCTGCTTCTCTGCAGATTCGGCCTATGGCTGTGACCCTAGAATAAAGAAATTCAAGGAAGAAGAAAAAGCCAGGAAAGAGTCTGAGAAGAAAGCAAAAGTTGAAGCCAAGAAGAAGGAGCAGGAGGAGAAGGAGAGGGTAAGTGGAGCAGCTGGGAGACTCAACTGGTGCTTCACGCTGATGGATAAAGACTCACCGACCTTTTCCTGCTTACAGGCACGGCAGGCAGAGCTGGAGACGGCGCGTTTAGCAAAACAGAAGGAGGAGGAGGAGGCCAGGCAGGCAGCACAGCTGGCAAAGAAGGAGAAGGAGGTCCAGAAGAAAGCCATCAAGAAGGAGAGGCAGAAACTCAGAACCACCTGCAAGGTTAACTCTCAGACACTTCCTGTAACATGGTCCAGCGTCGTTCCTCTGAGATGTCATCACACGTCTCCTCTGTCTCCACAGAACTGGAATTACTTTGCTGACAATGAAGCGGAGAGCGTGAAGATGATGGAGGAGGTGGAGAAGCTCTGTGACCGTCTGGAGCTGACCAGGTCGGTTCTGGAGCAGAAATCTTTTTTCTTTTTAACAAGTTCAACATATCAAATCCAGTGTTTACAATTTTATAACAAAATCTTTTGACCCCATTAGAATTAAATACATTTTAGACAAAAGAATAAAGTTTTCTTAAAAATAGGTATTAAAAATAAAATTTGCACTCATAAATAAAAGAAACAAGAGCCAACATTTTTACATGTGTACAAATATTATAATACATTCATACTAGTTTTAAAGTGACAGTGTGTATTTTCCCTGGCGATAGGTAAATACCTAAATCATTGCAAACAGGCAGCATTTTATGGCGCTTACACATTAGCGTCGGCACGGTCTGGGTTTGGTCGGGCTGGATGGCGTGAGTTTGGACTGGTACGGGTGGTGTAGTGTTCAGATATAAACCTGAGGGACTTCTCAGGAATGCAGAAATCCCCGAGCCTGTGGGCGGCGCTTAATACGCTCCATAAGGTAAACAAAAGGCAGACATGAGCTGTGTTACTTTTGGAGACTCTGAACCACATGAATCCCTGGGAGCTCAACCTCCAGCAAAATGACAAGCATCAGGCGCCCTTTCATCACTGGCAACGAGTGAAGGGGTAAATTCAATTCAATTCAAAGATACTTTATTAATCCCAGAGGGAAATTAGAGTTTCAGTACACACAATTCTGAGATCAGGCATACATGGGCAAGACACATGACAAGAATTGGTGACTGTGGTCATTCGCAGCCCGAGTCGTGCTACCTCAATAGAGAACAGAGGGCTCACATGAGGATTGGATCAGGTGGAGGGAAAAAAAAGGCACATCAGAGTTTCTCTCCACAGGGAGGGCAGCTTTGCTCTGCAAAAAAGCACCTCAGACAGAAATGCAACAGACTTCAGACATTACACAACATTAGTGTCCACTAGGTGGGGTGGTAGGGTTTTGGGACTCTCCACACGTCAGCAGCAGCAGCCGCGATAAGCAGCGCTCTTCACCTCAGTCTGGAGGGGGGGGGGGGGGGGGGGGGGTCGTTGGGTTTACAGAGCACAGTGACTCCTGGAACGATTCAGCGGCCTTCACAGCTCGCAGTCCCGCCCAGGCTGGGATAGGAAGACACAGTTGCCATGGCGACGGCAGCATTCCACATTTCTTCTGAGGGAAGTATTTGTTTCAGCCTCACAGGCTTAAGGGCACCAGATTCAGATAAGAAAAATGTGTAAAACAACTATGTTTATGAATGAGGAGAGTTTTGTAATCACTTGTTACAAATCAGTAAATGTGCTTTGTCCTCACGGGCTCCCGTAGAAGGAAACCAGGCATCTAAAATGGCGTCACCCAGAGACTTAGACCTGCTCCCATGTAATTTAGACCCGTTTTTATGGTTATGTTACAAAGCCGCCATTATTTTTCAACAACTTGGCATCATTTAATTCATTTTCAACATTTTGATGGATAATTTCAGAAATTAAAGGTAAAAACTACACATTGTCACTTTAAATGTAACATTTTTTCTAAATCATGGCTACCATTTCTTTAACAGAAACACCAAAAAGCACAAATGTTGCACCGCTTCCAGAGGAGTTTAACTTTCATATGACAATAGTTTTATTTTAATAAGCAATCATCTTCCTAGTAGTAGAAATTCTAAAAATGTACATGTTTATTTTTAAGCTGGAGATGTGACGTGTGACTGTTTATTTCAGTTTGCAGTCCTTGAATGAAATCCTGACCTCAGGCTCAAAAGAAGAGAGCAAAGCTGCAGTTGAGAAGCAGGTAAGTAAGGTGGTACTTCACATTTATTGCACCATTTTACCGTTTCCGCCCTTATAATCGTCACTTCCTGATGCTTCAGGTGCAGGAGGTGAACGCCCTGCTGCAGAAGGAGAAGGAAGCCGAGGTCCAGGCCAGGCAGGCAGCTCGCAACGCGGAGCATGCCAGCGGAGGAGGAGGAGGGGGGAAGGGATGGAACGAGGATGACCTCCAGCTGCTCATCAAAGCTGTTAACCTGTTCCCTGCTGGAACCAACGCCAGGTAGGCTTGCTGGATGAATATGTGTGTGTGTGTGTGTGTGTGCGCGGTATTTTATCCTAAAACAAAAGACTTTTTTGTTTTTTTACATCATTGCATGTGTTTCTACAGAAAATCTGCGCAGTGTTGTTTATCTAGAGCATTTTTCACTTTTTTCTTTCATTGGGAGATTTTAATAAGGTTAATCAAGACTCCCTGTTTGGCTTATTAAAAATGAGACTAATAAGATCATGTAACTATTTTTGTTTTTGTCAGATGGGAAGTTATTGCCAATTACATGAACTTGCACTCCACCAGCGGCCTGAAGAGAACGGCCAAAGATGTCATCAACAAAGCCAAGAATCTTCAGAAACTTGGTGCAACATCTCCGTCGCTTTGGTCAATGATGAATCACCTTTATTGGATGTTATTACTCATCAAGTCAGAACAAATGCTGCATTTAGTTCTCCTCTTCAACCAAAAACACACAGGAATGATGGCTGTGGCTCAGCAAAATAAGAGCATCATACGTACACAGAAGACACGACACTCGAGGGCTTACTGTGGGCTACATTATGATCCGTTTTTATTAATCAGTGTTCCATCCCTACAGGCTCTAGTCATGAATTTTGATAGATTAAACTAATGAAAATTTCTCATAGTTCTTACAGTTTGTCTGGTTTATCTGGACTTTGTTTTAAGGAAGCTGCAGATCAGGCAACTTGAAACACGTAGTGATCAGTTAAACTCAAACATCTACGTCACCAATCAATAATACGAAGGAAGTGTTGACAGGCAGCACAGCTATAAAAGCAGAGAAATGTAGCTATGGGTGCCCTAATGTTCAAACAGGAAGTCGGTGAACACAAATGTGTATTTTTTTCCCTCAGGAGTGTTGGAAATTTGAAGTGTATGGAAAAATACCTCACCACCACCGAGAGCTCTTGACACATACCAAACTGGATGATATTTTTGTTTTCATTTGTAATTCTAGCCTCCAAACCTCCTGGGTAAAGATTAAGTGACTCTCTCATGTTTTCAGATCCACTACAGAAAGACGAGATAAACAAAAAAGCCTTTGAGAAGTTCAAAAAGGAGCACACGTCCGTGCCGCCCTCCATAGACAATGCTCTGCCCTCAGAGAGGTTCGACGGTGAGTGTTGGGAGACTTCCACATTTTTCATCATCTCTGTTTGTCCAGTGTCTGAAACCTGTGGTTCAGGGGCTTTAGGTGGTTCCTCGGCCCCTCAGAAGTGGCTCTTTGTAGCTCTGATCCGGTGACATAACCTAGAGAATTTGAATGTAAAACTGAATGGCTTTGTAAAGGAGCTGTGGCATTTACCTCTGACAGTTGCCAGATGACAGTTGGACCTGGTCCCACTGTGATTACTCATTAGTGTCACGGGTTTTCTCTAAGGAGGCAATTAGGGCTACAGCTGTCAGCAGAACAGAAGATAAACAACAGACAGGAACTGACCCCCCCAACCACGCTGAGTTTCTCTATGGAAACGAGCTGTTAAAAAGCGTGCGCATGCACACACACATCTCAGTCGGATGAGTGAACAGGGAGACTAAAGCAAGCCGGAGTGTTTTCTTTAGTGTTATCTTTTTAGTGTTTTTCTGCATCTTATTTAAATTTGACAATTTAGCTTAAAACCATCATAATTGCGCCCACTTCAGGTTAAAACTCTGCTCTACATGCTGTCTGGCACCGACTAAAGCCTGATTCATGATTCTCCGTCAGCTCCGCAAGGGACAGACAGGCACGGGTTGACGGAAGCGTTTTGCTCTCATACTTCTCCGTCTCCTGGAGAGTGTTGCAAAGCAATTCCCCGGCAGGACAACAGAGGGCGTAGCGCTGTTCTGTGGTATCCCGTCATGTATCCGGTCCAAGATAGTGTGTTTATATTGTTTTTTGTATATAAGAGACTTTTTAACACAGACAAATTTGTCTCTCATTCTCCTCCACCTCTTCATGCACTCACCACCTGTAAACCCACGTTTCCGTCCACAAATAAAACGCTTGCTGCACATCTTTTCACTCCTCCAGTCACGGGGAATTAAACGTTCATATTTTAGTTTTTTCGCGAGGTATTCTTCAAGCTTCTCCGTGTCTGCCGCTTGTTATTCTCGGCTCTCTTTGTTTTTGAGGGTGCAATGGTGGGGGTGGAGACAACAGTGGTGCCCTGACCAATCACAAGCTTGCATTCTCCGTCTCGTTCGACGGATGTTTAAAAAAGTGGGCTAGACTCCGTACGTACTTGCGTGCCTGCTGGGGCCCTACGCAAGGACGGATAATGGTGTTGCGTGTCTCCACACTGACGCAGACGGAGAAGCATGAATCAGCCTTAAGCGCCGCTCTCTTGGTCCGCCAGTCCACGCCCCCTTTCGGTGCATTTTTCTAACAGGAAGTGTGGATGAGTGAGACACTGACAGGGAAGTAGCTTGCTCTTTAAACTCCAATTTAAAAGTAATGTCTTGATTTTCTAAAAGTTTAAGTAAATTCTAATTGTCAGTCATAACGTTTTTGCATTTTTCCTTCAGAACAGTAGAAACTCTTTCATCCATGTCCGTTTACGGCTGCATTTTGTCATTTAAGTTGATGAAAATGAACTTTTTGCACCAGTTAGCTTGTCGACAGTCCCAGCCTTGAGTATTTGCAACCTTCAAACAACCTAGTTCTGAATAAAGTCTGTCACTTCAATTTCTGCTACAATCAACACTTTTTAATTTCACCACTTTAAGATTTAAAACCCATGAGCCCATCAGCCTGATTAGAACTAAACGCTGTTTCTTCAAACTGAGGCTGTTCAAAGAGCTGTTGACACAAACTGACTTAAAACATGCCAGAAAATGTTTGAGAGCAGTATTTGGGCAGAATGCCAAGTATGATGTCACTATTTTTTCACTCCAGCTTCTAGTGGGGAAGGTAACGCCAACCCCTGGACCACAGAGGAACAGAAGCTTCTGGAACAGGCCCTGAAGACCTACCCGGTCAGCACACCAGAGCGGTGGGAGAAGATAGCTGCTGCAGTCCCCGGACGAACCAAGAAAGACTGTATGAAGAGATACAAGGTGAGCCGAGGCTTACTACGTGAGACAGAACAGAGCTGGATCTCTGACAGCAGCTGTCTAACACATCTGCGTTTGTCCCACAGGAACTGGTGGAGATGGTCAAAGCCAAGAAAGCTGTTCAGGAACAAGTGGCAGCCAAGAATAAAAAATGACAAGAGCCACAAACAACGATAGAATCTGTCTTATTTTAATGTTATTGTGTTATTCTTTATTTTATAATAAAAAAGACTAAAGACAAGACTTAAATATTGTTTTTCCTTCTTTATGCTGTACAGTTATCATTTCTGAGGGTTCTGCTTAAGTTTTCATCCAGAACATCCCACTGCGGATCTGGCTGTAGTCGGGCAGTTGCTCGATTGGACCTGAGGAAAGAAATGATTACATTTAGGTTTTTCTGGCTCAAGGTTGATTAGAAACGACTGACATCGATGGCAAAAACCTGCTCATTGTAACCATCTGGAGAGAGAAAAGCTTCAACATCAGAATTTAGGAAGCTTGCCTACAAACTCCTCAGTGGAACATACCAACAGCTGCAATAGCCGGGGCCCTGTTGTAGATGTATTTGGTGCACACCTCCTTGATGGTGTTGGCATCAATGGCCTGTTGAGAGATTCACATTACAACACGGTGTTAACGGTTCTGGATACGTCACCGGGAACCAAAATGTGGAGTTAGTCGAGCTTATTCAGATCCACACACATCAATCCGGGCCTCCAGTTCATGCAGCGGGATCCTGCGACTGTAGCACAGCATCTGTCTGCCGATGTCCTCGCAGATGGGGGTGGACCCTGCAGAAAACGGGTCTACATTGGCACTAGAACCCACACACAACCACGTGATTCACCGTCATGCTGCCTTACCATCCAGATGCAGGAGCATGTTGGTCTTGAGCAGGTTCTTGGCCCGAGCCACCTCGGCTTCTGTCACACTCGTACAGAGAGACATCCTGATGGGAGGAGCACAGTGTGTGTGTGTGTTTCATTTATTTGCACAGTTATAGAAACCGATGAGCTTCGCTGGTGTGCTCTCACCACTCCCTCTGAGTGAAGTGCATCATGTCGCTGATGGTCCCAGGCTCACACACCATGTACAACCCCCACAGGCCCGTGTCCGTGTAGCAGGTGTTGAAGGACTGGAAGCTGTGGCACAGGTTTCCCTGACAGGCCATCTGAGCCAGTTTACTAGACAGATTCTGAGTTCAGAGGAAACAACCGAGATGACGCACCGAGTAGAAAAGGAGTCGGTGTTAAGAGAGAGGAGAGGATTCCTCCGTACTCACCACGCCTCCACCAAACGAGCGGTCCCAGTTTCCAATCAGTGTGTTGGCCACCATCAGGGGGATGGTGTCTGGGTGAGACCAGCCCACCGCTTCCACAGCGATGGCAATGTAAGCCAGGGGCATTTTGTCATCACGCACACGAATCTGAAACACAAGCAGAGCATTTCTAAAGGGATCGGAGCTAAGAGACAACTAAAGTCTCAACAGAAAATCACAAAAGGCTGTTTTACATAAGTATTACAGGAGTTCTCTCTCTGTTGGACACTAACAAGATTTTCAGCTGCTACAGCAAAATAAATGAACACACATGTAACAGTTGATAATCTGCAGGATTAAAACAAGACACAGCAGCACGCCGCTCAGATGTCACAGAATAACTACAGCCTGTGGCCACCATGCTCTGCAACTCCTCTGTTAGAAGTTGTGTGTAATTTCATTTTGTATTAATGCTGCAGGAGAATGAATGAAACTGCTACAGGAGGGGTGACCTTATAGGACATATCTAGATCTGACTGAACAGACCTGGGATTTTCTTATTAACTGGTGTTTTCTCCTCACTAGCTGATGGCCATAGTTCATTTTTTTCTCTCCAAAACTGAAGATGGCTTAGAGAATTTAAACATTTACATTTTTTTAAAAAGGTTTCCCTCACTTATGACACCCAGTGATGCTGAATGCTCGTATTCCTACCTCACTTCCTGTGAAGTGACACAGTGGCAGAGCTGGAGCTTCACCCTGGTTCCTGCTGGGAAGTTTTCCAAAGTGGTACCTGGCCAAACTGATGAGCTCATCGTGACAAACCCCTGATTAGAAACAGAAGGTAGACTCACATCAGCATCAGAATAACCAAACCGACTTCATGAGGAACTGATCCATGCTTAATCTGAACTCAGCTCTGCATCATCAGTGGGACCGTGTGTGTTTCTCTACATTAGACCTGATTCTAATCCAGCACAGGAGAAGAAGAACAGCTCACACCTCCGGCAGCAGCCAGAACTATCCTGGGTCCTCTGTAGTGGGTGGTGATGTACTCCACCAGGTCTCCTCTGTTGATCGTCCTGCATCACAAACAAACAAAGATAAACAGTTGCTTCAACCAGACGAGGGAAAGTAGGAAAGCAGCTGGATCTCACTTGATGTTCTCCGTGGGGCCGAGGATGGTCCTGCCCAGTGCTGTAGACTGGTAAGCTGTGGCGTGCAGGTAATCAAACACCACCTCCTGCAGATTGGTCTCCACTTCCTGCATCTCTCTGAGGATCACGCCGCGCTCCCGTTCGATCTCCGCTTCACCGAGTGTGCTGTTCTGAATGATGTCAGCCAGGATTTCAACAGCTAGGAGGCGGAAAACAGTTTTTTATCACAAAACTGGATGGCGAATGGTTTGGAATACAAATGTATGTTATTGTGTTAATGCAAAGACAGCATGAATAAAGGCTGAGATAGTAGAATGCTGCAATGTTATATAATTACAAAGTAACTATCACCATGGCAACCGACAATGTGAACTAAATCTGCTCTTGGCAGGTTTTAAGCAACATGGCTTCACTTTCTTTTGAAGTCCAATTAAGATGAGAACAGGATTTCCTCGATTATATCATGTGATCTTTTCCCACCTAGACTAGATTTGATTTATCTTTATTTTAAAAGCAGATGTGGTTAATTGGGACATTGAGCTCCATTGATCAGGCCTTTTCACATCAGGATGAGGACAATCCCAGTTGACTGAACTAATCAAGCATTCTGGAATCAAACACATCAACAGTTTGTTGAACTTTCTGGAGCTCTCTTGTTGCAGCATTACTCGTGTGAGCTGCTACTAGAAAAGTAGTATAGCTGCAGACCAAAACTTCCATTTTCGTCAGGTCGATGCTCTTGGTCTGTACCTCGTGGGAGATCCTTTGAGAACGCTTTGGCATAGTAGACCGTCTGCTCCCGGGATGTGTACGCGTTCAGATGAGCTCCCATGTTCTCTATCTCCAACTCCAGGTCCAGCTGAGAGCGTTTCCTGGTGCCCTGCAGCACGCAAACATTCAAATGAGCATTTCCTCTTCCAGATAAACACACAGATTAAATATTCACAGCTGCAGCCTTCTCACCTTAAATGCCATGTGCTCCAAGAAGTGTGCTGTGCCGTTATTCCTCTCATTCTCATAGCGACTGCCAGCATCTATCCACAGCCCCACCTGAAAGAAACCACTTATCAATGTTCTCTCCACCGGTCCTTGTGAGAGGCCTTTTCAGCATGAGGGGCTCAAACTTTGAAAAGAAAACAGATTTTACAACATAATCCTCCAGCTTACATCTGATGCATGACTAGGGTGAAGCTATGGTGACTGAATCATGGTGGTGGGATAACTATCCAGTACTCTGATCCAGTATTGACAAAAAAAATACTGTAAATTTAATGGCTGGATGTTTAAAGTACATGGTTGCTGTTTGACTCGCATGTTGTTCATTTAGGATTTGAACTTACTGTGCACGTAGTAAGGCCGGAGTCCTCTGAAGCCACCCGCAGTCCGTTTTCTAAAGTAGTAACTTTAGTTTCTGGGACATTTAGCGCCACCTGGTGGGCAGCCCGAGTAGCCAACAGCCGCCGCTACAGTCACAAAAACAGCAAGTCAGTATGAGTCTTCAGAGTTAGACCAGCTGCTGTTAATCAGTACTAGTTAACTACATAGCATTGTTGTTATACTGACGGAGGGTGTTTCTCTATGTCAAGGCGCCTTGCGAGGCGAGGCGCCTTGCTTACGAGGACACTGTCCTTCCTTGGTCAAAGAAATCGGTTAAATGGAAGAACAAACGGAGAACACACGCCTCGGTAGAACATGAACATTGGAACCGATTGGAACACGTCTTGGCGGCTCCTGATGGCGTATCTCCTAGGCAACCGGGGCGGGGCCAAGACATCAAGGCAAGGTTCCTTGACGTTGAGAAACAATACCCGCTATTTCACTCCAAACATAAGGATTTATCACAGTTAGCCTGTAGCGGCTATGTTAAACAGCGAGCCGGCTAAAACCTAGTTTCAAGCGTCCTGTAGACAATATATGATAAATGACCCGCACTTGTGTAGCGCCTCTCACAGTAAGGACTCCAAAGCACTTTACACTACAGTGTATCATTCATCCATTCACACACACATTCACACACTGATGGTGATGAGCTACGATGTAGCCACAGCTGCCCTGTGGCGCACTGACAGAGGCGAGGCTGCCGAGCACAGGCGCCACCGGACCCTCCGACCATCACCAGCAGGCAAGGTGGGTTGAGTGTCTTGCCCAAGGACACAACAGCAGAATTCTTACCCCGCAGAGATAATTACTCTTGAGTAAGTTTCTTTGTAAAATAATTCTCCCCGCAGATGTGAGAAGATGAAATGAGGCTGCCATATTGTTTATTTGTAAATGTGCGCATGCGTGTCTCACGCAACTTCCGCTATGGACGAGGAAGAGAAGGTGGTGCTTTGGTTCTTTAAAAAATAAAAGCAGTTGCTTTGAGAAATACTAAACTGGTAATGTTTCTTAGAACGCGAAACTCAATAATTTATATTTGACAGTGGCATTCACGTGGTATATGTAATATTGGAGATCTGTATAAAGATGGAAACTTTATGTCTTACGAGGATCTAACCCATACTTACAAATTGCAAGGTAAAGGACATTTTTGGAAATACCTCCAAATGAGACATTGTGTGACTTTTAAATTTAAGGAAGTTCCTGAGAATGATATTTTAGGTTATATTAAAATGCCACGTGACCGCCACACTGCTTCGGTGTTTTATAAACTGTTTAATCATGGTTTAAGTGGGGAGTCTTTAGGCATTAAACTACTTTGGCAGCGGGACTTAGAAACAGAATACACAAATGAAAAATGGCTAAAAATCTTATCAGACAGTGGTAAATATGGGGGGGGGGGTGGCGGGGGGGGGGGGGCAAGCCTGTGTGTTTTGTTTTTGTATGTTCTTGTACGTTATAAAAAATCTGAAGATAATAACAACTTTAATTATATAAAATAATTTATATTTGGATGAAATTACATTGACGTATAAATAAATGTGTTTTAATGACACCCCCCCCCCCACACACACACACAATTATTTGTAAACATGCTACATTTAACATATAATACTTTGACCCATGTTTAGTATGTTGACAATGCTAGTAAGTGTACACCTGCACAGTGACACTGTATTAAAATCCTTGAAACTTGGGGAGTTTTCTGAGATCATATTACATAGGAAAGCAATATTCTTGATTTTAGGACATCTAATAAATAACACAACAGATAAAATGCCAAAAATTACGCATCCACAACCACAATATGTAAAATGCGTAGTTGTAGTTTTATTTTGAAACGTTCTGACAGTTCCCAGGCGGAAGTGGCGCTTTAGCCAGCGCCAATTCACCTCTGGCTCTTTCCTAAGTTGGTGCGTTCGTTAATCGTTGCGTTGAGGAGTCGCCAAGCTGATTTAAACTACATTCGCCTGCGGAATAGAGCTTTCTATCGGGCTCTTTAAGGTGTTCATTGCATTATTTTGTGGCCGGCCTTAGCATTGAGTTTGTTAGCCGCTAACGTGCTGTGGAGTTAGCTATGAGTAACCCGAACTTCAGAGACAAAGGTGTTGATAACAGCTTCTGTTGTTGGCTCTGACTTCCAGGTAGGCTACCGAATGGCCGAACTGATGGACGGTGACTTGGAAGATGGAGAAATCTCTGGGTCCAACTCGGACACCGAAATGGGAACGGCTGCAGCAGAACCTGACCGAACCGAGGCTTCCTCGGCTTTTAGCGGGCAGTCCTTTCAGCAACGAGCCGCCACCCGGCCGCCTGCCGCCCCATACCGAAGCTCCGCTAAGGCGGTGGAGTCCAGCGACAGTGATCCGGATTCTTCAGACGAGGATTCGGCCATGTGGCGCCGAAAGAGACAGAAAGTGTCTGGAGCTCCACAGCAGCCTGCAGGGTCTGCTCTGCCTGGTCCGAGGCCCGTGCCCGCCCCGGGTGCGCTTGGAAGTCGCAAGGTAAACAATATTTGGGGTTCCGTGGTCCAGGAGCAGTGCCAGGATGCCATCACCTCAGAGCTAGGCATCTTTGGTATGGAGGGTGTCAGCATGTCCAGCAGAAGTGTGGAGACTTATAACTTTGTTCTAGCCCGAAAGATGATGGAGAAGGAGAGAGAGATGGAGAAGCAGTCAAAGCAGGGAGAAGAGGAGACCATGCTAGATGCTGAACTGGAGGCCTACATGAAGGGCCGGGGTTCACAAGAGAAGGCAGGAAATGATGTTAAGAGGAAAAGACCCGCCAAAGAAAGACTTGGCGCCATAGCTGAGATGGACATCAAGGGTCGATTTGAAATCACTGAAGACGACCCCGAGGACAAGGTGGTGGACGAGATTACATACAGACTGCAGGAGCCTAAAAAAGATCTGATAGAGCGAGTTGTTCGCGTTATTGGATCACAAAAAGCCATAGAACTGCTGGGTGAGACCGCCACACTGGAGGAAAACGGTGGTGTTTACACTATGGATGGCAGCAGGCGGAGGACTCCCGGTGGAGTATTCCTCAACCTGCTGAAGAACACGCCCAGCGTCTCCAAGTCCCAGATCAGGAAGATATTTTTTGAGGAACATCAGAAAGATTACAAGAGCAAGAAGGCAGCGCAGAAGAGGAGGCGGCATGAGCTGGCTAAGAAGATGAAGCAGGCCATCGGCACTCTGAACCTGCATGAGCATGACGACGTCTCCAGGGAAACCTTTGCTAGTGATACTAACGAGGCCTTGGAATCTCTGGAGGAGGCGGGTCAGGAGGAGGTTGCTGTGGGAACCGAGGAGACGGCGGTGGTCTATAACTCGACAGACCTGGAGGTTTTCTGAACACATCCCTGTGTGTGATCATAGAAAACCAGAACTGAGATGAAAAAGGAGCACTGAAAACTAAAGGAGTCATTGAAGTCACACTGTTTGTTTGTATTCCATTTTTTATTTACCTTTAGAAATAAAAGAAACATTAATGCTAACAAATGAAAAATACTCTGTTTGTGTTCAAAATTATATCCTGGATCTGAATTTAAAAAAATCTTTGCTGATTTCAGTATATAAAGAGGTATTGTGTTAGTGTGTCATTGCAGGACAAATAAAAGAACTGTTGAAGAAAAATGTTCAGTAAAGCAGGAAGTCTTGCTTCTGTGATTCTGTCATGCAGAAAGAAAGGTTTCTAACAGCAACACGCAGGTTTGGTCCCAGACAGATCAGAATAACCCCTCTCCCATGACAGCTTTTGCAGTGCAGACTTTTGTCCACTAGATGACAGCAACACTAAATGTTTAAGGTGCTGCTTTTGGATGAACCACATTTACGGCTATTACAGTATAACAAAACATACTATACATACTTTTATATTTTTCTTTCATTTTTTTCCTCCAATTTTTAATTTACGATGGTTTTTGATCATTTTTTATTGTCCTTGTAAAGTGCCTCATGGTTTTTATCTTAGGCCCTTTATAAAAAATAGTTTCTTCATAAAATAAATGCATACTTCGACACAATCTGGACATCAATAAGGCCTGAGTGACGTAAAGTAGAATTTAATAAGTCGTTTAGTCTTTTTCCATCATCGTATTTATCCTTTATTGTTTTCAGTGCTGCATGTGTAACACTTAACAGTTCAAACACTCCTGCACTAAACATCAGTTTCTGATTGAATCTGGCTTCTGGTTCAGACATTTCAACATTACTCTTAACGGCTCCTTTTGTTTCCATATAAAAAAAAGGTTAGTGGACAAAAACTACAGAATCTTGTGTCCTCTCTGGAATAATAGTGATAAGAAATAAAATTATGATTTACATTATTTTTGTTTTAATTGGAGCAGCAAAAATGGGCTTCAGCAAAAATATATAGCAAACATTTTTTGAACAAATTTAGAAAATAGCAAAAAAGTCCCTTTTTTGTGGCTCAAGAAACAGCTTATTTTCGGGAATGTGGAAAAAAGTTTTTATTAATTTTTTATCTGAAAACCTTTTTCAGAGTGTCATAATAAGAAATACACAACAGCCTTCTCTGTCAGGGGCTGCAGCAGCAATCGGAGTACAAAACATTTAATCAATCCTTTATTTGTGGTGGGACACGGGCGGATTTAGGACTGAAGAAGATCCGGGGCTTAACACACACACGCGTGCGCGTGATACGCACTAGTCAACATCATATACTGTATATTTGTCTTGTACCACATAATTTTTAATCTGAAGCTACATATTAAGCATAGTCAGGGCAGAGTATTGTTCCTGTTAGTGTTTAGTGTGAGATGATAGTAAATATTCCCTTTCTTTCTCCAACAACTTTACCTGATAGTAAGCTAACTTTAGGCAAACCAGCAGCACAACAACTATTTTCAAATAAGACTCACAAACCCGAGTCAACACCAGTATCATCAAAGCTGGGGTTCTGTCGTTGTACTTTTTGTCTATAAAACGTCCTTATGTCCATCTTCACTCATGCGTTTCAGGCAGAGAGTGTAGAAGAAGCCGGCTGCTGAAAGGCTTCTTCAGTGGTGGAGGCTCAGGCAGGCTGTATCCAGACTACTGCCAGCTGCTCCCTCTCTGTTGGACTTTGGTACTGCATGTTACTTCCACGATCCGGGGCTTTTCATAAAACATTCGGGGCTTGAGCCCAAGTAGCCGGGCCTAACGTCGCCCCTGGTGGGACATGGACTAACTGACATCATGAAATCTGGTTTTTATTAAATTTCATCAGCAAATTGAAGCTGGTCTTTTCCTTCCCATTTTGCTAGTTGTGGTGCTTTAACCTTCTATTTTTTAATATATATAATTTTTAGAAGGAACAACATCCTAGTGAACATTTTTAACCCATCTGCTTTAACCAAGTTTAAACTACAGGTTTTTATAAATGGCCTGTATGTAAAGCGCCATCTACATTCCGCCCAAGGCGCATTACAACACAATCAGTCATTCACCCATTCACACGCTGGCGGGGATGAGCTACGATGTGGCCACAGCTGCCCTGGGACACACTGACAGAGGCGAGGCTGTTGAGCACTGGCTCCACCAGTCCGTCCGACCACCACCAGCAGGCAAGGTAGTTAAGCGTCTTGCCCAAGGACACAACAGCAGCATTCTCTGGTCGGAGCTGGGATTGAACTTTCAACCTTCCGATTACTGAACAACCTGCTCTACCTCCTGGGCTGCTGCTGTCCCATTAGGGAAATTTTCTCAAAATATTTCATTCTATTGGGTTTTGAAAGCTTAACCTTCCCAATCGTGAGGTGGGGAAAACTGCTGTATTATGTCAAATTTAACTCAACAATCAAATATCCTATTTGCCAACAGCTGCATATAAATAAAAATAAAATATATCCAGATGTCCCACAGGTCTCAGGGGGCGAATGGAAGCATTTACTGTGGATTTGAGTCTGAATCACCTTGGAAATGATCGTTATCTCTGCTCATGGCAACCACGTGAAAGCTAACGTGGCAGAATGGTTCCAGATGTCTTTGTGGACATGTCACCTCCAATAACCCGCAGCTGTTCACGTCATAATCATGATAGCACAAGTAGGTTTAAAGAAAGGTGAGGAGAACACACTTCTTGACAGTTTTGCTGGTTCTCTGCTGCCCTTCGAACAGAAAAGAATACTTTCATTTTTCATTTGAATGGTAAAGATGATCAAAGCAGCATTATCGAAGAAGTGTGTGTGGCGAAGCAGGTGACTGATGCTCTGCCTTGTCTTATTCATATGAATTTTTTTCCAGCTGTCTCTGGTCTCAGGACCTCTGTGTCTGTCACCTGGCAACAAGTTTGTTGCCAGGATACAACACGCTGTTTCTCATTTCCATTGGATCAAACAGGATCCGAAGTGAAAGGCTTGTATCTGTTGAAGGGTTGCAGCATGTCAGCTTTCAGAGATGCTTTCAATAAATATGAATGTCTGTTCTGGTGGTCATGCTTCCAGAGGCACCACACATCTTTGAAGTTTTAGCCAATTATCCGGTTCATGTATGACACAGATGTCACAGATCATCAAAGCAGACAAAGCTGCAAAGTCCTCTGTTCTCTAACGGTCCCACCATCCGAAGGCAAACACAACAAGTTGGTAAAGGGGATGTACAACATTCTTCAGTGGGTTTTTAGAGCACATTTGGATTTATTACAGGATTTGTCTCTTCCAGTCACAATAGTTGTCGTATAATCATTCCATCTGGAGAAAAGGGCGGTTCCAAAATCATCAATTCATTGTGGATGTACGTTCATGTTCATGATTACTCAATGTGGAGTTCTACTCTGCACTAGTTTTAAATAAGACTGCAGTTCTTTTCTCTCCCTCTCAGAGTTACGTGTTCTCTGAGCTGCAGCATGTGGACCAAAGAAGAGCAGCAAACGTGAGTTAGGTTGATGATGATGATGATGATGATGATGATGATGATGATGATGATGATGATGATTATAGTACTATTAAGAGCCAGGGACTCAGTGCGTTCACTAGTTCAAGGTGCAGGCAGCTCTGACTGAGACAAGAAGAGACTGAACAAGCTAGTTCACAAAGCTACCTCGGTTCTGAGCTGCCCACTTCCACAACTTCCCATGTGTGAAAGGGGGATGCTGGGGATGATGACCACCATCTTAACAAAAACTCCTCCCACCTACCATATTCCACTGTGGAGACCATGGACAGCTCCTTCAGAGGCAAACTGAGACATCTCAGATGTAAAACAGAATGCTACCATAGGTCATTCACCCCCTCTGCAGTAAGTGTATTACTCCTCAGCTTAACTGGTACTGGCATTATCCTGGTACACAATAACACCAATGCAATATTCAGCATGTGTTCAATACTTGTGCAATACCGGATTTAACTCGCAAGTCTGCATAATGTTGGAACCCAAGTTCTTTTCTTTTTTTTTTTTTGTGGTTTTTAGTGATTGAAACTTACAAAACTAGCTTATTGCTTATGCGTATATACACGTGCCTTTGTTCTGTTTCCTCAAATTATTCTCTTAAGTGTTTGTGCTGCTGTAACAAGTGAATTTCCCCACTGTGGGATCAATAAGGTCTATTCTATTCTAAAACAAGGTAAACAAGTTGGTAGCACAAAAGAGACAACGGTTCACATGCATTAAAGGGACTATATGGAAGTTTGACAGCCAAAACATGTATAGAAAAAATAAATTTCTTCTTCATACATTCTCCTGCAATGCCCTGGTCCTGTAGAATGAGCCCTGGCATTTTTACCGTGATTGCCTGTTTTTCTGTAAAATCACAGAAAAAGAGAGCTGCTCAGCTCGGACTCTCATGCAGAAGTCTTGGGTTTGATTCTGGATGTGAACATAGTTTATTTAGAGTGTATTTTTTACATTAATGGTATATTTTTTACAGTAAGATGCCCAAATTTTAATTTTAGACTCGCCAAACAGCATTGAATTCACAGGTAAAAAAGATGTGGGTTCAACTTTCATTTTGGAACAATTTTTCAAGCAAAGGAAGGGAATGATCTGAGCATGCAGGAGGACTGACCCATCATAAACCTTTGTCGGCTGTGCTGAAGAGAAAGGTACAGAACCAAATTATTTAATTAATTAGCTGCGTGTTCTCCTGTCCTCTGTCCTCCGGGCCACACACACACACACACACACACACACACACACACACACACACACACACACACACACACACACACACACACACACACACACACACACACACACAAACACACGGGACTGTCTCAGCTGTTATTTTCGTTAAGGAGTGTGCACGTATAGCATGCGCGCCTCGTGCACGAGCCTACTATTGAAGCTGCCGTTACGCTTTTGGCCTGAGGGGGCAATCGCAAGCATAAAAATTCAAAACTCTGCAAAGTCCCTTTAAAAAAGAACATTTAATAAAGGTGAAATATAAAAACCCTAACAGTCTACCTTTGAGTTGTGGCTCATTTGTTATGATGATGCTGAAATAATACCAACAGGAAGTTTGTTTCCATGTGGGAGCAGCTGACTGAGCCCTTAAAAGGCCCAACTAATGAGTTTAAATCGCAGAAGAATTACAGAGGTGATTAACAAGTGAGCAAACCATTTCTTTTTTGATCGTCATGGGGAATGGGACAAATAAATGGACTAGGTTGGAGCACAACTTATTAGAGGTGCATATTGTGGGCA